GTCTCAATAATATCCAATTATTACAGGGATTTAGACATTGAGATTTTGGATAAAACCACTAGGAATCCTGAACTTTTCTGAACATTTTGTTTGGATGTAGTCGAGATTTTGGATGAACCTGCTAAGAATCCTAAACTTTTCTTGTCCAACATATATAAATATCCCAGTGAGATCCTTTTATAATATCTCTCATGAACAGACCTTTAATTTTTATAAATAATTTTGTTTTTCATTGCTTCTTCTTTTCAAAATTTTTGATATATTGAATTCAAAATTGTCTTATTTCCTGCCACCAAACTTTAAAAATTATATGTCATATCACTATCATGGTTTAATAGCTTTGATTTTATATAAAAATCAGATTAATTTCTGTGACATAATGTGGTTTGGGTCTTTGAAAATTCAGATTTTCTGTTAATTAAAGTGTTTTTACATGCACGACATAGAGAATGAACTGAGTCATTCTAATTTTTTGATAATAGACCCCATTCTATATGTATGAATGTATGGGAGTTGTAGATGCACCACATTAGACTTAACATACTAGCAATTATGGTTTTGACCAATATATTATTGAAACAGATTACATGCCTTTGTCTGCCATGTTTTTATAGAAATTAAAAATAAAAAGAAAAACCAATGTTAGCAACTGTTTCTTTCCAGGGCTATAAACAGTGAAATTGCAGTTACATTTTTATAATACAGTTGTCCTTATATAATACAATAAGAATGTAAATCTTTTCAGCAAGTTTTATCTTTATTTTTATAATAAATAATTGAGTAAACAATTGAAAAAAAAAAATTACTTAGAGCTGTCATCAATAGAAATGATATTGATGTGTATCGTTGATAATTTTTGTTGATCAGTACACATTTTAGAAAATCGATATTTTTTGATTTAATAATTGAATGTCTAGAAATTATGAAAATTCAACCAAAACATAATTATGCAGAAGCATATTTCATGGCAGTGATGACAAAAAATTGTTAGCAAAAATCATGCAATGGGCATTTGTTTGAAACAGGACACATTTATGAAAAGACCATGTTTTTACTGAAAGCATTAAATTTTAAACAATTATGGAAAAGAATTAAGAGACAAGTAGTACGTAATTATTAATATATCTGTGTATCATCAAAATTTTTTCATCTTATATTTGTTTTCCACCGAATCAATGACAGCTATTATATTACTTGAATCATTTAAAAATATCAACAAAATTTGAATACTGAAATATTCCTAAGCTATAATTATTGTTTGTTGTTAAATTAAAATAAAACATTTTCTTTAAATGTTAGTTTCCTAAAGTAGATTTATATATAAAATTTGTATTTTAGAAATAATTTTGCTATTTATTAATGCAGCAGTGAAATATTTTAATGCAGTTACAATACTTTTTGCATCAAATTATTTTCAACTTATCTGTAACATTGGCGCAAAAACTCATGTAAGTGTACTTACTGTAGTTTTAGCACCAACAAATTCTGAAGCTGCACTTACATTTTTTATTTTTATGCCAAAAAAGTCATTTTTTATCAAAATTCAGCTTCTAAACTTCAGAGACTGGTGAAAGTTTGTATTTCTAACCAAATAATGACAAAAAGTGATTTTCTCAAAAAATGTCAGTTACATTACTTTTTGCTCCAAGGTGACGTAATTCAGAAATACAGGGTGGACTAAATGCAGAGTATCTATTACCTGTTACTGTTAAACCCATGCAGCGGCATTCACATGCAATGAAGTGCTTGTTTGCCTGATATTTCAATAATTAAAGCAATTGATCTATTAAATCTGGTAATATAGGGCAAGTTCTGATATTTAAACAAGTTTTAATTGCATTGTCCACTTGTACACAGGTGGTATTATTGAAAAACTCTTTTACAGGCCTCATATGGCAGTATTGTGCATGCATGCAAGGACCAAATGTTAAAAAGGTCAAATTTTGACAACATACCTAGATGAAAGCGACTCGAAATGAAATTTTTTGTACCTATTGCTGAAATGACACTTAAATTTTATGCAGTTCACATACATGTCACATGATTTGATACCAAATGTTTGAAGAATGCAAATTAAAAAATCAAGCGTTAACATAAAAAATACGGGCACTGTTTTTGTACTACAATTACTTGCATGTCAGTATGGCATTCATTGTCGCCATTATGCATGTACTGTCAAAGTATAAAAACAGGTATCGTCTAGTGACCCGTTTTTACGCTGCCCTATTTCGAAGCCATTTTTATTTTGCCTCATAATTGATATAAGCGGCCGCTTACGTCATTACTGTACTACGCTAGTAAAAGGGGAATCCTCTCTTTGGCTAGGTAAAAATATGTAGTAAGTTAGGCACCAAAAGGTAAGACATAGCATGTTATTCTTTCTTCAAGAGATTTTTGTATGTTTTCACTAATGCAATTTGCACCCTCACTTTAATATGTCCTACTTTCTTTGCAAAAATGGGCTGCAAAATACCTCCAGGTCTACTGACCTCATTTCCTTGTTCTTAGGTCACGTGTAAGCAACGACCCAAAAGTGTTGTTTGCGGCGCATTTTTTCACTCTTAAGCAACCTGTATGTGTTGTAGATTTGTTAATGGTTATTAATCGATAAATGAATGTTAATTGGAAATTAATTGGATATGTATATCTTATTTGGATGGACTGAATTGCCATATTTTAATTAGTTGCTCCACTAAGTTAATAACTTTGTTTTTGCAGGTACGACAAAGAAAGCAAAGACGCTGTTTTCCACTTCTATGTTTTAAGCACTGGAGGTCAAACAGACAAGGGCAACCATCCATACCACTGTAAAAATTCAACAATATGTCAATAGCATTTACCACATATAATTATGTTTTACGAGAGAAATAAAGAATAGATAAACCCTTTTTCACTTGTTGATACTTTGCAGGTCTACAGTCTCCTGTAGTATGTAATTAAATAAGCCAATGAATGGCGTCGTTTTAGGGCACTCTCAATAAAAATGGCCGCTCCTGGGTGAAATGAAAGTAGGACTGTTCGTGAAAGGAAATAGCTGGAAAAAACGCTTAAATTTACCCATTTCATAGAGGTTAGAGATATATTGATAAGTTAAACCATTTTATACAATACAATCCCAAGTTTTTTTATAGATGCATACAAAACAATTCTTAAGGCTGTCGAAACTGGTCACTTGAGGATACACTGCACTGAAGACCTCAAACAATGTGTTGCATTGAATTGAGTTAGATCCAGGTATACCAAATTACTAATAACTGATTCATAATAAGATAATGAATTTTATGTTTAGATCTAGGTATTTATGTCAAAAACTGAGCTCCCTTATAAATTGCTTTAATACTTTGGAAAGAATCTCTTTATTCACCTTGTCCAATCGGTAGCAAGACACCTCACCCCCCAGACACTTCACTCCTCAAATTTTAAAGACACTTCACCCCCCAAAATCAGTAAGACACTTCACCCCTCATCCAATTTTTTTCTATAAAGTAAATAAAACAAGTTGGTCAACAACAAAATGCTTATATCTGTTTATATTTATTATTTTTAGTATTATTTGATTAAAAATTTTGCTTATTACCTTTATTTTTACTTAAAGTTTAAAATTGTTGTATTGCCAAATGATATATCACAGCACTTTCATCCATTTAGTGTTTATTGCATGTCACCTTTAATGAAAATTAAATTAATTCTTAATAAATAAATTAAATAAATAAATACAATGAATATAAATGAATATGAATGAATGAATCGGTTGCTTTATAAAATACAGTAAATATAAATTATTTATCATCATTATGATTATCAGACACAATTATCCTGCATTTAATACAAAGATCATTCATATAATGTCATTTATTAAACAAATAAATAGCACCAGTTATGTAAATTAAGCACAAGGTTAAAGCACAAACCATCACCAAATGAACATAACTCAATGATTATTATACGGGGAAGTCAAAGTCCGGGCCCGCGAAGCGGGTCCGGGCTTTGGCTTGCCCGGCTATAGACTACACGTGTATATTTAAAAGAAAATCAAATAAAAAACAATTAAAAAATATATAGAATTCTATACCTATCAATGAAATTTTCAGTGTCAGTTCTAGTCGTGCGCCGCCATTTACAATGTAACTCAATGATAATAGGCGGGGTATTCCGAAAACGGAACAAATCTCAACTTTTCGGATAAATAATAAACGTCGAGTGTTCCGAGTGAAAACGGAAGCGGTGCATGTAATACCGAAAATTGACACCTTTAAAACGGAAAGAATGAAGGGAATTTTTAACGACTTCCCCGTGCATAGGCTTTGCCTAATTTCATATTATGGTAAGGATCAAACTGAAAACAAACTTAAGTACCAAAACTTCAAGAATTAAATCAACTCAAAATTTATTAGACAATGGGTTAAAACAATAAACATACTCAATCACTATTGAATGTATTTAACATAATCTACATAAATAATTGGCATAATTGTTAAACACAAAATAAAAAAATGAGGGGTGAAGTGTCTCAATCAAATTTCTTAAAACGAGGGGTGAACTGTCTGAGGGGTGAAGTGTCTGCAAAAAAGGGCTTAGGGTGAAGTGTCTGGGGGGTGAAGTGTCTGTAAGCCGTCCAATCAACAGATCAATCAAGAAGAAAAATATGAGTGGAGAGATAATCAGATAATTTACTTGATCTATCGATACATCTTATCTTTCAGACAAAAAGACTCAGATCTGCAACGATAAATTGAAAACTTGATTAAAATGAAACTCACTTCATATATTAAATTGCATGACTAAATCGTTGTGTCTAACACTCTCTCATGAGAAAAAAAAAATCAAGAAATCAAGAATTTCAAGGAAACGGAAGTGATCTAATTTTACCATAATTTTCGTATTTTTGAAAACCATGTGAAAACGAAACCTTTTAAATAAAAAGCATTCAAGACAGCCTTTCTAAACTTTTTTTATGATAAAGGTGTTCGTGCAAAGTAGTTTATTCGTAAAATGATAACTTACAAAATTCGAATATTTTTTTAAGTTTGTAGCTCTGCAAGATTTTGTATAAATAAAAACCAAGGAAACCGACATTAGGATGTGTTAAATTTCTAGCAAATTTACCGTTTCTGTGTGTCGTTAACAATGCAGGTATAGGGTATTTACATATTTTTTTATTTAATATAGAGGATAAAAGTAAAAAATGAAAGACAACGAAGATTTTAGGAAAATTTTGCAAGTGTTTCAATAAAATAGAAAAACAGTTTATCTGGAAACCAGCAGGTTGTTGTTGAAAAATGTAAACAAATGGTACAAATGGCCAAATAATTTGATTATTACAATATACTGTATACAACTTTTTAACAACAAATCATAATAAAATACAAACTTTCCAAATGCATTTTTAACCATTCAAATAGCTAGTTCTTGCTTCCAAAACTTTATAAGCCGCTATTTAACATTTTTGTTTTTCATCTGATGCGGCATTAAAGTTTTGGATTAGACCCATTACGAAACCTAACCAGAATAACATAAGTTGATTGAACCTTATTTTTCACTTGCAAATACACTTGTCCCAATCAATTCTTGTGCATTTTACGATTAAACAATTATTTTAATATAATTCTATACCATTTAAAGTATCAAAATATTAATACCGTCATTAAAATTGCCTATTTAACTGTAAAACATCAATTACGCAGACTACAGTCAGCCATGACATTTAGGTGCCATGTGAGACCTCGTATGACATCATTCGCGGGAACCGATTAGAGTAGAATCTTGTACTATATAAAGAACATCTTTGTTGACATGATTTCGATATTTTTATTCAAGATAATGTTTTTATTTATTTTCATTAATTTTTTAATACTTAAATATGATTATATTGACTACAAAAGTCAGTAAATCACCTTTTTCAATATCTTTAAAAAAAAAAGTAATTTATAAAAATTTTGGAAGCACTTTGGTTCCGTTCGTAAAGGTCACTCTCGTAATCATGTGGTCAAACATTTTGGCAATATCATGAATATTGCAACCAGGTGCTGAATATTTTACCTGTCGGAAACTATTAGGTAGTTAAAGTTTGTAATAAGATTTTTATTTGTCCATCCTTGGGTTATCAACAGATTATTAATAGTTTTATCAAGGTATGCCAGGGCTTTTTTTCATAGGTTGGGGAAGCAGCCCAGCCCTTAATTTTGGGGGAAAATTACACAGTATATTTGCAAAAGGGGAAGAAAAAACTTGATGTAAATTTAAAATTTGTGGAAAACTGCATGATTTTAAAGAAATTTTCTTTGGGAAAGCAGCCCTATACGGCCCCTGTTATAGAAGGAAAAAAGGCCCTGTATGCTTCACTTTACTTCATGGCATGTTCGATGAATGAATACGAGCGTGTCAGATTCCTGGCACGATTATTGGTGGACTTTCCCTACGGGTCTGTCTTCAGCGTTCACGTCATGTCATAGTATATAAACGGGTACGCTGAAGACCTTAAGCTACCATTCAAACAGTCATTCACGATTTTAACCTAACCCACGACTTTAGGAAAAGCAGCCATAACAGCTGATAAGAATAACAGTCAAATCGGCTCCAAGTTGAAACAGCCCCAAAAGAGTCAAATCAGCCTCAAGTTGAATCGTCCTCAAGTCATATGGGTCCCATTTTTTAAAAATCATTATTCATATATTTTTTAATAAACGTTGCACTCTATATTGATATTTACCAATCGACTGCACAAACAGACGCAATGTCAAAGTATATGAGTAGTCTTTTACACAAAATATTGATGACTGACACTTCTTCACACTTTTACTCCACTCTTTTTCTCAATACCCTCGGTTAGTTTAAACTATACATTTTCTTCAACAATGCTGTTGGGGGAAAATCAAAAATGTACAAAAGAAAATAATTATAAATCACTAACAAACAAACAGTTAAGAAACATTTGACTGCAGCTGCTAAAAAATCAACATTTTTATACCTACCTGATTAATTGAAATGCATCCACTTCACTAAAAAAAGAAAATCTTCGGATTCAATGCATGAATTGATGAAAGACACCTGATGATTGTTTGTTTCTCACAAAATTATTTTACTTCAAAACTCTGACCGACATTTATATGCACATAATTACATAAATAACAATTGTCACTATCATCAAGATGTTTTATAATGACTTATTTTTGACTGAATAAAATAAAATGCATTCGAAAATTCTTTATTGCACTGCATTAAAATGTGACACCCTTACCAAAGCATTTGGGCTCTCTAGAATTGCATGTATAATGGCCCTTGTGGAATATGAATGAATATCTTTAAAATCATTTTTTTTTTCTTTCATATATGATAGACACAACTTTACTGCTAATAAAGATTAAACTTGTGTTTTCTTTGTTTATTGCAGATGTGATTAGAGAAAAGAAAGGCCAGGAAAAGACGAGGCAAGAATTCTACGGAAAAAATAATTAAAAAAAAGCAGATGGCAAAACCAGTAGTAAATGCAAGAGAGGCAGCCAAACAGTACTTGGCATTACATCATATACCACAGATGTTTGAAAGTCTGCTAAGTTGTCTCATGGTTGAAAGACCAGAAGATCCAGTGGAATATATAGAAAAGAAGATGACAGAAATAAGGTCTATAGGTGTAGATAATGTTAACTGGGAAACATTTGTGCTTTGTCTACATCCGTATAGGGACAGTGTAAGATTACAGAATATAAGAGATGGAAGTAAGTTTGACAGGGAACGAGAAATTGAAGAGGAAATAAAGCATGAGAAAGCAGATGATGGCAAGTCCGATTATCAACCAGATGTGTTCAAACTAACTGAGGCTCAGTAAACAGAGTTATAATATATTGTTATAGTCTTATAAAGTAGTTTGTTACAATATTTTTGTGTGTATATATACAAACTAATGGAGACTGAAAAAAATAAAGTCAAATTATATGGTGCATTTTATGACAGAAATTAATGAGTGTAGTTTGAATATTAGTATATAACAATACCAATATTACTCTAGGTATAGTAATAACTTAAACCAGTATTATGATTAAGCATTTGAAAATAGAAAATACTAGAGCCCTTTTATCAATGTAAGTCTTTTTCTTAGATGCTGATTTTGTAGATACCTAACAATGGACACACCTTGTCACTTCTGCACAACACTGTATAACTTTGTAAATGTAATAACAATTGCCCAGTATTAAAATCTCACAGCTGTGTTTCATCTGCTTTTGAGTGGTGAAAATGGACCAGTTGTTATTTTGTTCTAAAGTACCTGTATTTTAGGTTTTCCAAAGTTTTTCCTCTTAACTTTTTGAGAAAAAAAATCCTCTGAAAAAAAAATCATGCAAAAGGAAAAGCTAGATTAAAGCATGTTCTACTGAAACTTCAATTATTGATATGCTTTTTATTATTTTGTAATACTCCAGGTAATGTTGCTTGTAAAGTGAAAGTGACATAATTATTACAGAAACCAATTACTTTCATCTACAGTTTATTTGGAATTTCCTTAAAAACGAGACTTGGCCAATTTCTCCTGGTGCCCAGCACTAAAAAATGTCATTGATTAAGGATATTTAGTAAATTGAAAATCCTTTTTGGCATTATAAAATGGATTATAGTATCTTCATAAGCAGTACATTTTGTTGATTATGATTTTCGTCTGTAAAAGTGCTTATTAAGATATAAATATTGTTAATATAGATACAGACTATCAAGACTAGCTTTCAGTATTATATAAAGAATATTTATAGATATGTAATATAGAGATAGTGGGCTTATTTTATAAATCATGTTATCTGATACGTAGGTTGAAAGATGAAATAATTTTTACTAAGATGAAAGATTTTATAAGGATAGCATCATGTACTTTTGTTGTCATTACACATGTACTATATAATAGCCTCTTGAATGCTCTATATTTTTGTTTCAAATTTTCTGAACTTTTTTGTGTGGTGTTTTAGTCATTTTTTTTTTTTCCATGTTTTTTTTATGCATTTGTACAAACTACCTTGGTAATTATCCAGTGTTGCTTTTAAAATATCATAGTCTTTTGGTGAAGCAGGAACAGCATTGTTGTCTTGTAAAACATGATATGTAAACTTTAGTCATTTACTTTGATAAGGATGTCATTAACAATTGTGGGAAATGTTTTATGTTACTTTTAATGGCATATTGTAACCCGAGCATAATAATATGTGTGTTTTTCATCCCCGAAACATCATAACTATTATTGTAACCATGTGTTTTTACTATATATTTACAAAAGAAATAAAACTTAACCATTTCAATTTGAGACTATCACTTTTGGTCATGTAAGGGATGATTTACAGATGTCTATATAGTTATTGAAAATCATTGAAGGAATATATGCTTGTTTGAATCTGTAGCCAAGATGATTATATAGTAACATGTAATGAATCTGTTTAGCTAGCTTACAAACATTGAAGTAGTACTGTCATTGAAATTGAATTAAAGACAAGTAATTATTTATGTATCAGTGTATCATCAATATCTGTCATCTGATATTGATATAGATATTGTTGATATAGTTTGCACTGAATCAACAACAAACACTCACTCTGCTCTACTTTTAAGGTATGAGTGCACATTTGTGAAAGGAAATAATGAAATTTTTAATTCATTGACTTGTTACATTTGTGAAAGGAAATAATGAAATTTTTAATTCATTGACTTGTGTAACACATAAATCAGTTAACTTCTATCATTAAATAAACATTATTGTTAATAAAACTGATATTATGACTAACAGTATTAGATACAATACAAGTTCAAAACCAGATATAATAACAATTATTCACATAGTATCATTCTGATTCATACATCACAGTCATGTGTATGTGCTTTCTATGAGTGTATTTTACCATTTCTCAGTTGATATCATTATGAATTATCATATTAACATTTTACCTTTTTACATATAAGTATCACTGTATTATGTTGCATAGAAAAATATGTTTTTGTAGCAAGTATTATGTTCTGTGTTATGTAATTTTACATGACGACTGAGATAAACAGTATTTTTTAATTGTAATCATAAATTAATGAGCAAAACATTTATTCTGATTACTTTCTATGATTTTTAAAAAATAAAGAATTTATTAACACTGTTTATTCTTACTTCTGTAAGATAACAAATGCAAACCATGAATATTTAAGATATTTAAGTTTGAAAATCAATTTAGCTTGATTTATAATGATAAAGCTTGAAGTGTTTTTGAACTTTTATTTGAGTTCTCTTCATAGTATTAACCAGTCTTGTAGTCATATAAGAAAACAGGGTTGTGACTTGAACCTACAATCTCTAGGTTGTGGCCCAGACACCACTATGGTGCCTCTCCCCTTTTGTTAAATAAGAATGCAAGAATTTGAGTGATAGAAGTCTGTTATATCACACTATAAATGGTTAATCAGTTGTACATTTCCAAACTTTAGCTTTAGATGTTGGTAGATCCATCATTTACTGTGACAAATGTAATAAATATTACAGACTGTATTGTCTGGTACTGTCTACCTTTTTGTGATGTCATTACAAATTTATGTTATTGTTGTTGCTTAAATTAACATTGCTATATTTGTTGGATGTATGGTTTGCTTGAAATGACAAAAACTTAACCTATATTTTAACCAACATATATAGGATCATGAAAACATTTAAAGAACAATGTAATTTTGAAAGAAAGAAAAAACAATAATAATAGCACCATGCAGTGACATCATGTAATTCTGTAATTTTCACGAGAACCTGATATTTACACATTAAAGCTGCAACAAAGTTAAACATAGAATTTTAATGTTCAGAATATAATTATTAATGATGCTTTTTAACAGTATAGATATACAAAATAATTTTGTTCATAAACTGGTATAATATTTCAAATTCACTTGCCATATTTATGAGACTCGTCTTTCATATATATAATTATAATATTACTTTGTATACATTAGTTATACTGGTTACATTTGTATTTTAAATGCTTAATAACTTTGTGTATATGCTTTTAAAATCTCAATCAAGACCCTGATTTAATTTAACAAATACAGTAGCTTTAAAAAAAGTATTTTTCTCTGTATAGATTTAACCTTTTAGATATAATCATTAGCCTAGTTAGAAGTTGTAATTTCAAAAGCAATATTTATTTGTCTGTAGTTCTTATTTTAATATATTAAATTAAATTCTTTGCAATAATTTTTTTTCAATTGTTGTACTTTTTTTGTTAAAGAGGAAAGAATTATTTTTAGGCATAATTGTTTTGCTCAAGTTGGCAATGATTTCTGTTTGATTTTGCAATATATCTTTTAATTTCATCCTATCATTATTTGTAAGTTTGATTTTTAAATCCTGAATTTCATGCTGAAAGTTTTGTAGTGGCACACCTCTTAAGGCAAGTTAAATAAATCTTTAAAAATAAACCATAAATAAATGAATACTTTAAGAAATGTATGAATGTTCGTAACTCAGAAGATAAATATTGATTGATTTATGTAAAATGTGACATAAATTGCTATTTTTATCCCAAAAATTTCTACTCCTTTACTTTAACTAGAGTAAGGAAAATTTCTACATATTTTAGCAAATTATATGTCATTTCTGTGGATAAAAGGACAGATAAATCAATTTTCACACTAGAGTGACTAGACAACATGTTTACTGATAAGAAAACATGTTTACTCTTTAGCACTTCCTTTTTCATAAAGAATAATACAAATTTGAAGGTGTGCTTCTTTAATTTCATTTGTTTTTACAGTCTAGAACAAATTGATGTTATCTGTGATGAGCTTTACCTTAATTAAGACATATTGCCTTTGTCTGATGTTAGTACTATCCATTGTTAATAAAGGATTTGAATTTACAAAATGACATTACTAAACAACAGTACAATATATGTAGTACATTATGAGAATGACAATTGCTGGTATAGGTGTTGACTGACTTGGCTGTGTAACTAGCTGTTAACCAGTGGTTCCTGTTTGCTGCTGTTAGTCATAAAGATAAATGACACATGTTTGTGCTACAAGTATAAGGTTATATAAAAAAATAATAAACAGAAAAGTAATATAATGACTGCATGATTTTTATACAAGGTATTTTTTTTTACATTTGCTCATCACATCATAGACACATAATAGCTGCTCTAAGTATTGTTTTTAGTTTAAATGAACCTGCCTTGTCTTATGTTGATGTCTTGCTCTACATTGATTCATGTGTAATGATATATTGATTTATACCTAAATTTTTAATGATAATGTGATATTTTTGGAACTGCTGGAGTGAAATAATGTGTGTGTATATATATATATCTGTGTTATTTGTCAATTTCCCATATTGTATTTGTGATAATTTATGTCCATCGAGAAATAAATACATTATATTCATAGTTAATTGTCAGTTCACTTTTTGATTTGCCTACAGATTTGACAAAATAATATGTTGACCATTATGGAAAGCAATTAAGTCACTACTCACCATCTTGAGTTGCAGTTTTGTTCTTCTAAATACAACAAATAACAACAATATTCACTTAGGTTATAATATTAAGTGAACCTTGCCAGATTTGAATGTCAGATTATTCTTGTCTTAAATTGATGTAGTAAATTAAGTTGCTTGTAAAATATTATACAATATTATACAGTACTGAAATATGTTCATTTGTTTTCTGTAAATGTCTCTGCCTTTAAATAATATGATATTCATGATGACACAAGTGGTCTAACAAAAAATTAAGTGTGACTGCCTGGCAGGAACTATTATGTTTTTGTTGAACCTCTACAATTGAACGGCATGTAACCACAAGGATTTCTTTGCAAAAAGCCACCTTGTAGCTGACTGATGAATTTTCTGTACATTTTACTAAACATTTTGTTATTAAAACAATATTAATCCTGTCTTTGAACTTTTTAATTTAACTTTATGTTTTATTAAGGTGCAGTATAATATAAGAAATAGCACAGAGTACTTTGGACCTCAGCATTACATGGGTGCAAGTTGAAAATTTGGTAAAGCCTGAAAACCTTTATTCATATTCATTTTCCTACATAATCTAAAAGTAAAACATGATGAAATTTGTCACAAAAAACCTGAGCTTCAGGCATATGCCTGAAACCTTGCACCCATGGCATTATAGTGAACTCTTAGTCAGTCTCAAACAGTCTCTTTGCTGGTGCTAAATCAAGTTGTTGCATTTAGATAAACTGGCACAAATGATTTCAATTATGAATAATTAATATAACAAGACCTATTTAAGGACACCACTTTTCGATGTGCTGGATAGTATGATGACAGCATAATTCTGCCTAAGAGCTTGGCATAGTTAGCAGATAGTAAAATAAGAATTTCAGGTTTGGAATGTTTGTCCTTTTGATATGGCATCACATTTGATAGTGAACAAGTATACAATGTTTAAAGTGTATAGCACAGATAGTTTCTGAGAAAATGGATTTCTTATATATCCCCACTGAATCCATATATGTGAAACTAAGGCCATAACTGTAGGTCAATAATGAAGACCTTCAACTCCAGAACAGATGAATGAACTTTTCCTCTTTGTGACCATTCCAGCATCCCTCTTGCATGGCAGGTCTTATCCCATTTTAAAACAAGAGCCACCGCCGGGCGGGGGCAACGCTCGACTTTCTTAAAGCAAAAGAAGAAATGTTTGAACAAATCTTAATGTTTCCTTTTTATAAATTTAATCGGTCTGTCTTATCACATTAGTTTTGTCTATATATTTTGTATATATAAATAGAAACACGCATGCATTCTATAAATAGAAACACGCAATGCATTCTATAAATAGATACACGCAATGCATTCTATAAATAGATACACGCAATGCATTCTATGAATAGATACACGCAATGCATTCTATAAATAGATACACACATTTCTATAAATAGATACACGCAATGCATTCTATAAATAGATACACGCAATGCATTCTATAAATAGATACACACAATGCATTCTATAAATAGATAAACGCCATGCATTCTTTAAATAGATACACGCGTTGTTGTTGTTGATGATGATGATAGTTATCTATATATGTATACACTCACACCAATAAATATATATGGTCATTTAATGCACAAATCTGAGAAAATTCAGTTATTTAACCTTCAAGGTCAAGGTCATTTAAGAGCCCAAGTGTTTGATAAACAACAAGGTCTTGTCCTTTAGAATGTTCTACTATAATATGAACTTGATCCCTTCAATAATAGCAAAGTTACAGCCAGTTACAGCCAAAACAATGAAAATTTCAATAATTTGACCTTCAAAGTCAAGGTCATTTATGAGTGAATGTCAAGGTATGTCTGGTTATTTTTAAGGGTTATCCTTGAAGATTATTATGTTCAAGTTTGAAAACAACCCATTCAAAAATAACAAAGTAACAGCCAATAATAGCCCAACAAATGAAAATTTCAATAAATTGACCTTCAAAGTCAAGGTCATTTATGAGTGAAGGTCAAGATCTGTCTGGTTTTTTTTTAAGGGATATCCTTGAAGATTATTATGTTCAAGTTTGAAGACAATCCATTCAAAAATAACAAAGTTACAGCCAATAATAGCAAGAACAAGCAAAATTTGGACTTTTGACCTTGAAGGTCAAGGTCATTTATGGATGAAGGTCAAGGTTATAGTGGGCTCCTGAAAGGTCTTGTCCCAAGGGTTGTTGTGGCCAAGTATGAAGTCAATAAAAGTTATGATCCAGGTATAAGTTTGCGGACAACAATGGCAACGCCGCCGCGACTATATCAATACCTCTTTTTTTTTTCAAAAAAAAAAAGTCGAGCTAATGAATAAGCCCCTCAAACATCTAATGTAATAGTATGAAGCAGTGCTATATTCATGCTTTTCTTTCTTCCCCTCACATCACCAGTTGAAGATTTGCAGCACTTGAGGCAGAAAACACAACGTTATATAATTTGGTAAAATACTTTATCCCAAAATTCCCCATTCTTTGAAAATGGATTGAAGACCATAATAACAAACTTTAAGCACACTGTTTGATATTGATATTGCCTTCAAATTACATACATTTTAAAGTACAAGAAAGTTGAAGTGTTTTAACAATTTAATTCAAACATATAAATATATTGTTTTATAATTTCCACAGATTCTAACCATATACAGTTTATACTCTTCATTTATAAACAAACCTTGAATTTCTGTGACCAAAAAAAATGTTTTTCCTTAAATCTGAAGTTTGTATAAATCAAAATATTCATATCAAATAACCCTGTATGAAAATACATACACAATATGTTAAAACGACAAAAAAGAACACGGTTTCCTTTTTTTAATAAATATAACATGATCATAATTTAACTACACATTATTTTTTAACAACAAAAATGCTAATGAATTGGAATTATATGGATATATCTAACAATTATTGAATGAAATATTTGTATTAGATCAACAAGACCTTCATTATCATAGTATAGTTTTAATTTATACAAGGATGTTTGTTTGCAGTCATTACATATGTAAGCACATGAACAGCAATGTACCATGAATATCAACAACTATATTTTCCTTCAACTTGCTGTTCAAAAGATAATAAAAAATGAAGAAAAAAAAATAAAATTTGAAGTAATTCCAGTATCTGACTACTTCAGCACTTTGTTTATGACCAATGCAAGCTGATTAAAGTCAGACAAAATTGATATTTTGTTGTTAACAAATGTTTTGAGAACAAATTAACTTAGGATATTAGGCCTAAGTTTAAGTTGAGCTTACAAAACAAGAGGAGAACATAGAGAGCTTGATTGAAAGATTATAAAATTTTACAATATTTTTTCAAGCCAGTGCAAGAAAAGAACATTTGAGTAACCCTAATATGTAGAATGATTAAGCCTTATATGCGGAATATCCAATAACAAATCATCCTTCTCCGTCTTTACTCATTATCATTTTTAATATAAAATTAAGAATTAAAACTTATAAACTGATTATAGTGTTATAGCTTGTTCTTTGATGGAAAGACCTAAATTATATACAATGTAAAACTTTTGCAGAAATGAACAATTTATTGCGCAGCAATGGATAAAGCACTTAAATTTCAATAAAATCAAATGACAACAACAGCAAAATAGCATTTTACAAACGATGGTTAAAAATTTTTCATTTCAGACTCTAAAGGTTGATGATCATTGACCAGTGTTTTACAGAGGAAAAAAATTAACAACATACATTAAATTTTGTGCATTGAAACAAATAAATTGTCCTTTACATCCAAGTAAAAGTTAAGTCTTTTTCTTTCTCTTTACTTACAGTAACAAAAAAAATACATCCCAATTTTAAAAATATTGAAATAATCTTGCAAAACACTGGATAACTATTATGTTACAATTGCATACTATACAGTTACATCAAAACTTAATTAGGGTGCCAATCAACAAAATTTACAATCTTGTTAGAAGAAAGTTAAGCACAAAAATTACATGCACAATTAAGTTAACGTTTCAGACAACGAGAATTACATCTTTGGAATATTTATAATTTTCTTTTTCTGTTTCAAAATGCAGTGACTTGGCATGCAGAAAAGCAGGTGAATGTATGAAGAAATATACAGCCTTCAAAATCCCATGTGTAAGAATGATAACCCTGTATTTATAAAATTAACAATAACCAACATTTATAAATATGTTAAGAAATTCAAACCACAAAAACTCAAGGTTTTCATCATAAATAATAAATTAATAAAAAATTATAACATTCAATATTTGCGAAGATGAAACTCAGTACTCTCCCTTGGCATCGGGTACTTCTAACCCTGCCAGGTGATCTTTATCATGAATTGTTATGCAAGTTAATGATGGGTTTAGTGTATCTTCATCCAAAGTGATTGTAAACTTAGATATGCTACAATTTGGACAAACTTTGAGTGCATGACCTTTCATTCCAGGGACCTTGCAACCCAAAGTATCCACGAAATATTTCATTGTCTCTTTGATAAATCCACCATGACTGACTACAAGAATATCGGCTATTGTTGTAGGCAGTCCATCTGTGTCGTCAAAACTACTGTTTCTTCCTGAGCTAATACTTGATATACTTGAGAGACGGTGTGTAGATGGTGACAGTGAAATGTTTGGACAGAAACAAGACTCTGTACTAGTATCCATGTCCTTTGAGACTCTTTTTACGGGACTTGGTGACTGAAATGTTCGCCTTCGATATAACTGAACAGTCTGGATTTCACAATCAAGCATTGGCACAGATTGAGAAATGTTGTCTGGTAAAGTGCTATCTGATTCGGTTCCAGTTTGATTGAGCGAAGACGATGATGAAGATGAAAGTTCATCTGTCTCAGAATTGCTTAATCCATCTGATTTAGAACTGCCATTTGATTTGAGATCACTACTGCTCTGATTAGAGTCTTCTGAACTACTTGGAAAACATTCACGATATTGAAAATCTTCAATTTCTTTTTCAGTATAATCAGAGCTCTCACTGTCTTGCATAGAAACGAAACTTCCATGTTTGCAAAAGTTCTCGTTGAAATTATTCTCGTCTTCTTCATCATCAAAGTCAGCGGACAAATTAATTTCATTGATAAAGTTTTGAACATTTCCAGAACCACAGAAAGACTGGCTACGGCCACTTATTTGTAGTCGTTTACTTTGACGACTGTGTCTTCCTAAACTTCCTCCATTGCGACGCTTTATCTTTGCTGGTGTATACATCGAGTCATTGCATTCAGATAAACTGGCACAAATTTTACACAGGTCTTTAAAAAATAACTGAGCTCTTTCTTGAACCTGCAAAAAAGAAAGTTATTCATAACAGTTAACATATTAGTAATTAAAGTATGCTTCATATGGGTTTTATAATTCTGAATAAAGATCAATAACTGTTCTATTGTGTATTAAACACTTTAAAATCCATAAAGATTAAGAAGCACAAAATCAGCTAGAATTACAGCAAACACCTTAATTAATGACATAATAAGTAAAGCAGTTTTACCTGTGCCACTGATTCTGCTCCAGGAGGAGTGTAGTCTGCATATCTTCTCTTTGCCTTCTTAGCTGATATAAGTAATTCCTTTGACGTTTTGCCCTCCGCTGATCCAAATCTCTGTAAATAGTTTTCAAAAAATATAAGAGATATAGCTTTCATTTAACTTATATTCATTTTTCATTTGCAGGTGACTTTAATCTAAATATCAAACTGTATCCTCATCGGACAATAACTCGTTAATAAAACATGTTGCATGGTGATTTTCTCTTTCTGACTACACAACATTTAAATCAAGAGATCTGATAAGTTGTAGTGAATGTACCTATGTAGAAAGTACAACAAAAACGTATTCATTCAATCAATTGTGTAGCTTTTCAAAGAAATAAAATCAAGATAGTGTAAGGTAATTTCAAAAAGTAATGATAGGATAACGGTCATTATCAGAAATTGACAACCATAACTGTCCCCTTGTCCCTTACAATTATTTTAATGACACTGCAAAGCCTTTGTCAAATAAAGACCCCGGCAGGTCTGAACCTCTGTGAAATCTAACTAGATTTTATACTGCTGCCTGACCAACTTTGAACAGTTGTAATACCATAGAATTGCCAATAGACCCTTTCAAGATGCAATTGAAAGTCCATTCAGGAAATTCAAGAACTTTTAAAACTAACTGAAACTATAGCTGGGCATGACAAATGCTTATGGTGTTGTAACCAATTGCAACAATATTCCATATATACAAGCTGTCCAAGATGAAAAAAAAATCTAACAGATATAAATGCATAGATGCAAGTTAAATATCATCATCATGAATAGTGATGTTCATCAACACCACCACTATCATTATGTAAATGAAATAGCATGTTATTTTAATTACCCTTTCTCTTAATCTTTTGTCCAGCGTTATGTCACATCTGCAAACTTTGTTATTATCTGAAATTGCCCTTGCTGTCTCATAAGCTCTGGAAAGGTCACTAGAGAATATGTGTGTAAACCTCTCATTCTGTAACCTTTCTGCTACTAGCTGAGCTTGCTGCTCCCCGAGAGAAGACAATGGTATGTCTGTTTGTCCTACAATATCAATTAATAATTCAGTGAAACATTACATATCTCTTTGTCTTAAAAGTAAACAATATTTCTTTTCATTAAAAGAATAGAAATCTTTATAAGATTTTTATTGTAATGAAATTAATCTCTGACATATAAAAACTAATCATAATGTAATCTTCTCTGGCTATCATGCACATTTCCATTTAAATCAATGGATATTACATACCTTGAATTATGCTTCTTCTGTTATACAGGGTTTCCCCACTGAAAAAGCAAAAAAATAGTAACATTAGATATATAATTTGTTTTCTCTACCATTTCAGTATGGTGTATCTGCTAATCTATAACTTTGTAACACTTCTATGTTTTATTTTAAAACAAAACCAGTCAGCAGACAGCAAGATCCAGTTTTCAAAGAGCTGGAAAGTATGATCAAAGCAAAGTAGAAAAGGGGGTATAATTCAGCAAAAGTGCATAGCAGCTTACCCACCTTTAAAAGTGAGCAAGTATTTGAAGTTTGAAATGAATATCTGAGACAGTTTTTTGATAAAATTTGGAAAATATTCTTAGTCAAACAAATTATAAATTGTTATCTGACCATAACTCAAGGTTAGTGTATATATAAAATCAACTCTTGCTGAAATATCTTAGCAATGAAGAAAACTTCAAATCATTATCTAGTGGAAAAGAAAATTCATTTTTCTGTGTTGTTTAAGTTTTGATAGCAGTAGAAAATCATCAGTTAAACAAGTAGAGATGGTAAGTAAAATAAAGTAACAAATAAAATTGTTCGGTTAATGTCCTTGACACTGCTATTTTGAATGTTTTAACTTTGAATGTTTTACAAAGTATCTTTTTCTACTTGAAATATATAAAAAAACAAATGAAATCTTAGCTAGCAAAAACTTATCAAACCATTAAACATTGTAACTCATGCATATGGTACACTGTTGAGTATTAAATCATGTTGATGTACATTTTTTCATATTTTGATGTTTATTGTCTTTATTAACTTTTTTATTTTGATAACTGTTTATGTTTTTATAACAGTGAATATGAATGTGGTTATGCTAGTGGATAACCCTTGATGGTTCAATAGCTTTTTTTTTACTCATCACAATATTAGAAATGGTCTGATATCATAATGCCCTTGATGACTAATGATTATTGTATTAGTCAATACAGTATTGTGATACAATGCTTAGATATTGATACATGGCTATACATTCTAAGAAAAAGAAGAGTAATATGTGATTAGAAAATAAACAGTAATAAAAAAGAGAGATTTATCCCCTTGAAACAATGTAGGTTAATAAACTTTGTGCAAGAGATAGTTATACTGTTATTTATTTATTGTTGCCAGAGTGGTTTCTAAGATGAATATGCAAAATAGCTGTGTAATAATGGCACATCGAGACATTCTTCTCCAGCCTTTTACAGTTTGGTTTGACTGTTTGAACAGTTCTGTAGTACAGCTGATTGTTAATTATTTTTATGACAAATCTGAGGAAAACTGTACAGATATATACATAAAAAGGTGAAGTAAGACAAAATCCAATTTTGCCAACCTTGAATGTCCTGATATATTTTCAGCCAGTGATTCTTTTCACTGCATTTTACAGGCGAATAAAGCTGTTTCCCCTAGCCCAAAATAGATAAAATTTCTGCTAAAAATGCTTATATTTTCCCCCAAAATGCCTTGTGCCCTTCCTGACCAGAATTATGACTTAACAGCATCTGACTAATATCAGCTAGAAGACAGAAATCTGCCTTATAGATAGCCTCTGCTATGTACCATGCATGTTAAATTTAATTGAAATCAACATTTTATATAAAATGTGTGGGTAAATTACATTTTCAGTTGTTGGAATTTGATTTCAGGTTTTCCCCCTTTTCTATTTTATTGCACAATATTTTCCCCTTTCGAAAGCCAAGGGTTGATTTGAAAATTGGAGAAAAAAATCACAGTCAGCAGCTATACTCGACCCTATACAATGTGCCTGCAAATAATATTGTTGCTTTTAATCCATTTAATTTCTTTAAATAAAGTAATTTTCATTAGCAAATTGTTTACCTTATACAGCAAATCATAGGTGTATAACGATTGAAATTATTCAGACTTATGAATCATGAATGGAATTACTGCGGCATGACAATCACATGGTGTATATGTTACATATATAATAAATAATATATATATTTCTAATTTTTTTCGTTTATTGTTTATTTTCTTTAATCCAATGGTTGCTGAATTGTCAGTTTCAATGATTGACCATGAACTGTATGACGAATGGTATTATGACTGAGTCAGGCTGATATAAGTTTAAGTCAATCATTGACCAAAGTTATAACTCATAAAATACAAATAAGCGACTTAAAATTCATTGCATTGACATTTTGTTTTTTTCAAGACAGTTGATGATCAGTATACCAAGAAAGATTTCTAGCTGCATTGATTGGAAACCAATTGGAAAACATACATGTATGTTATTGAAACAAGAAATCAGCATGAATAAAATGTAAATTGGCCAAGTCAACCAACAGAATCAAAAGCACAAGATGTGTTCCATGCGTATTACAGGGACTACAAGCAGTTACTTGAAAGAAACATACATATTTCTTCAATAAAACAACAGTTTCTAGTTAAGATGAATAAGAAATACGCTCATAATAACTGATATTAATGAGTGCAACGTAAACAAGGACCGACATATTTATAAAACTGTTTTTGCCACAGCCAGTCGATCCAGGTCGTTATTAGAAAAGCACGCGTATTTTACTAAATTTAGTTAAATCCACTTACTGTCTAACAAATGTCACCGAAAATAGCACCATTGTTTTCTTCTTTATTACTGCATCAAGTCGGCAGTTAAAGAGATTGCAAAACATTAGGGTTCCCTGTTGTTTTCGTCCCCAGTCACCGACATTTTGTTTGTAGACAGACTGTCCGGAAAAGTTACGAATAATCTGATTGGATGACCGAATTCTTTCTAGCCAATCAAACTTCTAATACTTTTCTCAACATACCTAAATGACCCCAATAACCTCCAACAAAGGAGAGTGTCCAGACATCATTGTCGAGCACAGACACCTATTACGTAATACGTCTAGCTCTCGCGTGTGACAGTCAAAACACTTATCGATTCAAATCTAAGCTTACGGCAGGTCAATAATTATGTCTCCAAATTGGCAGTCATGTTTCAATTAAAATGTGAAAATTTGACAAGATACTTGATATTTATATTAAAAGAAAGATATATATTTCATTTTGAAATGATAATTACATGTATATATATGAAAGATTAGTTTTTATACGCAATTAAGTTAGATCTACTGCCACATTATGGCATTACTAACTCTTGATTAAAGTGGCTAACAATTAAACTATGTGCGCTTACTTACTTATTTTTTTCATAGTTAATTAAAATTAAACATCAAATATCTGGTTAACTCATCAAAACACATATTCATATTCTTAGTCAAATATCAGGAGCAATCATACTATATAACTATTATATCATTTCGCAGGGCATTTCTTAGTCAATCAGTGTTCATTTTATTTCTATATGATAGATTATGCTATTTCAAATCTTTATCTTAAAAATTTGACAAATATAAAGAAAGCAAAAAAAGAGAACTTAAAGATTTTGTATGTTGTAATTTAGGTTGTTACCACACTTCAGTGAAATTTTATATATGTATATAATTATGCTTCTAAAACAATTTTCAAACATCGAAGAATGTGTAAAATATGTACTGCAAATACATTTGTAATCATTAAAATATATGCATTCATTTCTTATTGAAAAATTTGTCTTTGACTTTATAGAAAACTCGGTAATATATTTACAAATAATGCTGTTTGGAACTTACAATATTGATAAATCTTCATTTGAGCATTATATTAATGATATAAAATCATAAAAAATGAGTTATGTACAGGATCTTTAAATGCCCATAATGTCTCATAAATGCTATTAATTTTATTTCTCAAAAACTTTTTTATTTGTGGTATAATTATAGTGAATTAGTATTTTGTATGGAAGTTAAAATACTATTTTTGTTTACATTTTGCTACGTTTTATGATACATTACTTCACGTTCAGCACACAGGCAAAAGTATCGGACCTGGGATGAAAAAAATATGACCAGATTGATAAAAAAAAACCTGTGTTCATCTTAAAAGTGTTAAAAAAACAACAACAAAAATGTATATAATGACCCCCTTTAAAAATATACTATAAGTGTTGTTTTTTTACACTTTTAAGATGAACACAGGTTTTTTTTTATCAATCTGGTCATATTTTTTCTTCCCAGGTCCGATACTTTTGCCTTTGGTTCAGCACTACTTTGTTCAGTTGGTAAACATCTTACATGCTATTCAACACGTATCTGACATTTCTGAACAATACAAATGGATTTCTAAGGCAAAATGTGCCTATAAAATGTCGCATTCAACTAGATTTTGTAGTCTGTTTGAATCAATAGAAGAATGACACTATTTTTGACAAAATAGTGTTTTATGTGCACCATACAAGATTTTTTTTTTTTACAATATACCCTATGGACCTTTTTGAGTTTTTTTTTTTTTTTTTTTTTTTTTCGACCACGCAGTGGACAATTTTGAAAAAAAAAATTGTAAACCAAGAAAACAAAAAGAAGTGGCCTTAGTGTCGAGCAACGAAGGGTGCTAGAAAGCAATCATAAAGGTGTCCTATTTATGGCGACCTTTTATATTCAACTATTGGGTTGACAGAGTTTTAACAAACTTTATATATATATGTTATTCCGTGCGTTGGTTTACTGCCACTTAATTTTACACATATATACGGCAACGTTCTAACTTTAAGACAGTATTGTAAATGTTCTTAGTTCCTTCAACAATGAATATTTTTTCATTATTGTGGGCGCCTTTTTCCAAGAGAGTCTTCACCCGGTGCACAACATTTCGCCGAAAGACATCTCATCGAATACGACAGTTTGTCGAATATGACACTTGGTCAAATTCGTCAGTCTTGATTAAATGACTATAACGGTAAAAAGTAACAATTATGCCACGGAAATGCTTATATTTTTATTTCTTAAAAGCTTTTTATATTTGGTGTATTTTTTATAGATTCCAAAAGTTACTCCTTGGCCAACTACCTGAACCATTTTTTCCATCTGTTGCTTTTGGCAAAAAGTACACTTAAAGTGAATAAGTAATTTGTATGGAAGTCAAAATACTCTTTTGTTTACATAATCCTTCTTTGGTGACAAATTATTTTACTGTTATGGTAACAAGCATCTATAACATGCTCTAAAACCGTTATTTAAATGTTATAAAATTATATAAGCCCATTTCTTAAGAAGTAAAAATTGTTCGTTTTTTAGGCATAATGTGCTTTTTAATGATCAGCTTGGCCAAAACTGCTGTGAATTATGTTCAAAACATCATATGGAAACAAATGATGACGGAGACATGATCATGTCATTGATCGAACTATCGCTATTTCTCTATCATACCACCACGTCTTTACCATTAATTATATTATAACGTGCTATTGAATCATCGCAAATACACTCTTGTATAGCATTATCACCAAGTCTCGTCTGTTGTAATAATGCGCACCAAGAGCCATCCCCGGGCCATCGTTTGAAACTCGAACCTTTTTAATATTTTCATCAACCACCAGCAACACACATTATTCATATCTATTTTATATGTTAAAATATTGTGTAAGCCTCCATTGATCTCAAGTCTGGATCATGACATGACTTTGTGCTGTTGGCAATTAGAGAAGGAGCTTGTTCTATAATTGTTCAAAATCAAGTGTAGGGCAAGGCCATCTTTGACGAAAGCCCATCAATCAGAATTTACATGTTGAATGAATATACAGTCCCTCCCGCTTCCATTGACATTCAATATGGTGTTGTTTGTATTATATATTTCTAAATATAAGATGTATAAAATATCACAGATAAAACATCCTTTTAGGATAAATGACAAGAAGTGTTGTTGCCACAACCTATACTTTAATAAATAGCATGGCAATATACAAATGTAAATATATCACTAAAGTTTGTTAAACACCTGAAAGTTGATATCTATGCTGTTTTCAATACTGTTAATATTGTTTTAATGTCTGATAGTCAGTTACTTCAAATAATAGTCGGCAGTCTGCTCATTATACTTTAAAGGAACTCCATTGATGTGAAAAATCCTAAAGACATAAAATTTGAGTTTCTTACATAGATCAACTGAGGCATTTTAAACAGACATATATGCGAAATATATTCAGGAATAAATTGAAAATGGTGATTTTTGTGCTATTCTTTGCCCGATTTGAGTAAAAAAGCGTTGCAACGCTTTTCTGTTTTGGGTCCGTTTTCACTATTAATCTGGTAAAACGAAGCGAGCGAATGATCTGAAATTTTGGACACAAGTTCTCAGGCTAGAACTACATCAAATTAATCTTGGAAAATTATCTCCAGTCCCGTCATGTCAAAAACCTCAGTGGAGTTCCTTTAATCTTTATTATCTGTAAATTTGTTCTCTTATACATAAAAAATGATCACGAATACATAGATGAGAACTTTTTCATTTTTAAACTAGGACTGCACCAAAAGTTCTAAAGCTAAACAAACAAACTGCATCAATTTCAAAATATAAGCTATCTAATTATTCTAACCTTGTGGTCATTTCTAAAAAGACATTTTAACAAAGCAAGTCTCTGTTATTTAACCCACACATATACATATATACATTTTAATAACACATGTCTATTCATATACCAGTACAATGATATTGGTAGAGCCTGTGGTTTTCAAAGATAAGCTATCTAACACTTCAGTATACTTCAGTATACATGTATAATAGATATGATGTCTCAACAATATTCTACCATAGTTGCAGCAAAGATATCATGATAATAATCTTGGTCGCGAGTTGAAATGAACATTTCTTTGTCGTTTTCGTTTACCCTTTTTATTCTTTGACGTATCGCTAATAATGGCATCCATTCTGACTGGAATATCGACCATCTTCACAGGTTTTCCCATGAGTTCTTGTTGATTGAGCAGTGCTAAAAACATCGATATTTTCCCCTGGATTTTTATCAGGTTTTCACTTTCATATTCTGTTAGAGCTTTTGTTCTTTCGTCTTCAATAAGCTGCTCTTGTTTCTTGCGCAGTGACATCTTTGAAAAACGAACTTCAGCTGGTGGCCCGCCCCGTGGCATAGCAAGCTCATTCATACGTTTTTTACTGTAACCTTTAGTGTGCTTTCCAATGTTTTGATGTAAAGATTTATCAGTTGCTGCAATAGCGTCGTCATTTTTCTCATCTTTGCTTTCCTCTTCGTTTAAAATTAAATCATGAGTGGGCTCAATGTTTTCATTACCGTTTGCATTTGCTTTTTGTAATGTTTCTATTTTATTTGAAGTATCTTTCGAAAAGGAGAGACTGTTGTCATTCTTTTCGCCATCGTTTTGAGTATTCCCAGTTTGATCTTTCATTTGAGAACCTAAATATTTAGGAAACATGGACGGTCTACGTTTATCCTGGGGAATTTGCCGTTTACGGACATTTTCTTCAGCAGGAATCAATACGAAGCATGGTCTGGAATACGTTCTATTCCGACATGTTTTACAATGTGGGTTACACCATGGCCTGGAACAGTCTTTTACCTTAGGTATTTCCATAGGGTCGTGCAGTTTTCCATCGCCGTAATCTAAATAAAAGTTTTTGATGTTACTTTTACGTTTTGAAAGACCTGCAACACCTTGGTTGTATTTAAAGAGTGCATTTGACTGTGAGGGCAATCGTGTCGAACTGCGTCCTCTAAATGTTGATCGACTCGAACGCCTTTCAGTCAAATTATAATCCGTATCAATCAATATTTTTTCTTTATCATCTTTCGCTTCTGATGTTACAGCATTTAAGGTGTGTGCAGTGTCGTTGACCGCTTCAGGATGAGTGATCTCTTCTGCATTAGACATGGTATTTTCGTGCCGAGTAGCTTCGTTCAAACTCAGTACGGTGCTGCCATCTAGTGGTATCTCGTTACGTTGAAGGAAAGAATTTCCATCTTCTTGACTTCCTGTTACTTCAGGGAATGTGTTGGAAACTGATTTATCAACAATATTGTCAGTTTGTTCTCTCAGCTTAAGGCCCATGTGGTGTTCTATTTTAGTGTCCTCTTCGTGACTATTTACCAGAATTTCTACTTTCCTTGTTTCTTTGGCCGTACTCTTGGTTGTTGTTTCCTTCACTGTATCCGTTTTATACTTACTGTTTGCCTCACCTACTCCGATTGTTTGATTTAATATACTGTCTAACGTCCGTTGCTGTCTACCAGGAGAACGCTCCCCCATTAGAGACTGTCGTCTGACGTCCACCCCGATATACTTCTGAACAAGACGTACACCGACAGGTGGGAGGTAGATGGTTGGTGCACTGGGTCGTCTGCGCAGTCTGTCCGCACTTCTTGCTGATTCCGCCTTTATCAGATAAAACAAATTAATTTACACCATTACTTATCATCAAAATCATATATTCTATTTATAGCAATGTTATGATCGCGTGCATAAGAGCACAGACGCTTAAAGAAAAAAAAAAGAACGAATGATTTGCGCAGGATACTGCAGAAGAACAAAATCACTGCTCGCTTGTTACGGTGCAGATGCAAACAGTTTTTTTTTATATTCAGACCTGCTTAGTGAATTATAAGATAACTTAAAAGTCCTTGCTCTGCAAAAGTAAATTGTTTGATAATATCAGATCTGTCTTGAATAGCTGTTATTCGGTACAGTTATACTCGTATGTTTATGGGAAAAAATATGAAATACAAGGTATCTAATGAGAGAATGTTAATTAAAGCTTGTAATTTCGACGAAGGAACAGTAACTGTTGTCCTGTTGCTGACATAACGTTTTGGATTTACAAGATCTTAGAGAAATATATATAAAAAAATCATTTACCTCACTAAGAGAATATCCAGTAGATAATTTTATCGATTGCAAGTCGTTATAAACCATACGAATATCTTGCTTTAAATTCTCCTTTTTGTGAAAGAAATCCTTCATCATAGAAGAGAGTCGGTGCTCGAACTTAGTCTCATATGCTAGGTTTTTCTTCATAGCAAATAGCTCATTCAGAGAGCTCATGCCCGTGTTTTTAACATAAGGAGGCATTTTGACAGCAGGAAAATTCCAGGTTTTTTACGTATGCATAAATATATCACCTGTCCCTGTCAAATGAAGATATGTTTGAAAATTTTGTATTCCATCAATTATATGGTACTTACTGTTTTTTCTTGTACCGCAAGTTTTGTTAGTTGTATGGCTTCCTGTCTTTTGCCAGGAACTATTTACATTTTTATTCACTGTATTTTACTGTAGGAAATTAGTTTTACTCTTACCTAAGTATTTGAAAGATTTGTCAGGTGGCAATTTCCGTTTTCTTATAATTCTTGTTTATATACACCAGTAACAATATGTATACCATTCACCAAAACAAATGTAACATAAACATGAATTTATAAACAGATACGTTTGTGCCCATAAACTCCAAAACCGACCAATGTACATGCATTAACATAATATTAAAAGTCTGCAATAACCGCTGAAAGGCACCTCTAACAAAACTGCTACATTTTTCTAAAAACATATATTCGGGTTACTATTATTAGGGAATAGATACTATTGACACCTCATCATACTTGTTGTCGAAAAGCTACAAAATCTAAGAAATTAAACATGGCTAAAAACAGAAAATTCGCATAAATTAACAAAAAGGTATTAACTATATTATGTGGTTATTTTATCACAACTCTAATTGACGAAGATGCGAAATATGTCTTCACACACCTCTGTTTAAACACATCACACAATTAAAGGCCCACTGATGGTCCAGAAACGCTTTTATAATTATTTCTCAGAAGCTTTTTATTTTTGGAGACCGGTGTTAAAAATTATTGTTTCCAAAAAGTCACTCATTGGCCAATTATCTTAACTATCTTTAGCTTCTGTTGCATTTTAGTTGTTAGTACACTTTTAGTGATTTAGTATTTTGTTATGTTATGTTATGTTATGTTATGTTATGTTATGTTATGTTATGTTATGTTATGTTATGTTATGTTATGTTATGTATGTATGTATGTACATGTATGTATGTATGTATGTATGTATGTATGTATGTATGTATGTATGTATGTATGTATGTATGTATGTATGTATGTATGTATGTATGTGATGTGATGTGATGTGATGTGATGTGATGTGATGTGATGTGATGTGATGTGTAGTGTAGTGTAGTGTAGTGTAGTGTAGTGTAGTGTAGTGTAGTGTAGTGTAGTGTAGTGTAGTGTAGTGTAGTGTAGTGTAGTGTAGTGTAGTGTAGTGTAGTGTAGTGTAGTGTAGTGTAGTGTAGTGTAGTGTAGTGTAGTGTAGTGTAGTGTAGTGTAGTGTAGTGTAGTGTAGTAAAGTGTATGTATGAATGTATGTATGTATGTATGTATGTATGGCCAAAGGTTTTTGTACTGATTTGCCAATTAACTTTGAAACTTTGTTCAAAAATAAAGACAATGTATATTATAATAAGTTTATATACTGGTAATCAAACAAAATTTGGACATATGATCATTTAGTAATATCTAAAATAATTGCATGCAAACAAATTGATGTTATTAAATTTAAAATACAATTTAACTTGTCTTTATGACAACTTACTAAAGCCGTATCGGGTTGTTTGTTGGTAGTAGTGTTGTTGTTGTTGTTTTCTATTGATTTTTGTCCTATTTTAACCATGATTTTTTTTTCAAAATCAGATATGCAATTCACGTCAATCTGATTAAAATCATCAACGTGGGTTTTCGCAAATATGCAACCATGATGATATCACAGTGTTTTCATCGGAAATATCACATATGTATAGACATTTCAATTTCATATGACCATAGAATTGTGTTTTTATCTCACAAATATTAAATAATTTCTGTGATTGCCTGTTGTTTAAACAAGATTTCGACGATAAAAGTACCGTTAAATAATTTTCCCTTTATATATTTATGTACAGTTATTTATTGATAATTTCTTTTCAACTTCATCTTTAGAATATAAATCAATCATTGACGGCGATGTAAAATGACAGGCAGTTTCTTTTGAAGGACTTGATAAAACATTTCCACAAAAGCTGTATTAGGACGATTGAAATTTGTATTGTTGATCAGAGAATATCTGTATTGCATCAATATTTGATCATGAAATAGGCTGAAAAGTGTTTCAAATGAGTCTATTAACTATTTAATCATAGATTTTGGGGCGAAATATTTAATCAGTTTTGGGTGGCTTTTTGACGCCTTTGAGCGTTTTTTGCTGTTGAATTTCAACCGAAATTTGGCCCAGGAAATACCTTTGAAATTGCATTTTGCTATCTGGGCTTTATTATTCTTTTCAATTTATACATTCAATAAAAGTTTCAAAATACTTTATACTGTAGATAATTGAAACTTTGTTAAACCATTAAAATCTCACAAAATCCCTGTACAGCGTTTTATGAACTAACACTTTTCAATTATTTCTGTATTTAATACAACGTATCACCTCTCTTTTCAGTTGAAATAACATTCATGATATATTTTAACATTTCTGGTGGTTCTGGTCTTAAATGACGTAGAAAACTACGATGAAAAGCGCGTTGTGGTTTGGTGTTTGAAGTGTACGAGACAGCGTTCGCATAATATAGTTGTATGACTTTCGGATAGACATTCGTATTTAAAGTTTGGATTAATATTGATAAAAGCAATCAAACGACGATTTATCGTGTTCATTTTTATCAAATAATATGCATTCATGATTTGTGTGATTTCTATATATGATAGGATAGATTGGGATGGTCCAAGTTACAACGTCTTATTTACATCTCTATGAATATTTACGTGTTGTCATGCACATGTATATAAAGTCCAAGTGATGTTTAATCATATTGTTAAATAAGTAAATAACGGAAACGATTAGTGCGCGATTTGTTTTCAGTTCGCATTAACATTTTATTACCCGAACATACAAATTCATTTAACAAGAATTTAGTGCGATAGGTATATTTTTCATACATTGTACATAAAACTGCTCTGCCTTTAAAATATACAAAAAGGAATACTTTTTTTGCTTAAAATGGCAATTTACATGGCAAGAAGTACATCAAGCGTTTGGGGGAGCGCATTGTCGCACGTGCATGATTTAAGCAGACGTTTTGCGTTTGAAACAATATCCGAACCAGAATCGCGATTATCTTTGGAGATCACGTCAAAATCCGGACAAGCTGCGCAAATTGCCGGAAGTCGAAATGTCGTCTGCAAAACTCCCGCCGAGTATAAAGCAAATAAACTAAACAGAAATGAGCAAACAAAACTGGAAAATGTGACATTCCGCGTTGTAAAAGAAAAAGAAATAACACGACGGAAATTTACGCAAAGTGAAAGAGTGTTGAGAGCAAAAAGTGCAAAAATAACAAAACGGATTCAAACTTTGGAGTCATCATCGGCAATAGCAGGTCGACCAAGATCTTATGCTTACGAAAAACGTCCTCAAAGTGAACATCTTTCAAGAAGAACGAAACCATCATTTCACTCAAGGACTTCGTCAGATGTCCAGTCTGATGATAAACGATGTAAAATGTGCGAACGAATTCAAAGTGTTATTCAAACATATGAAAAAGAAGGCAAGCGAACGGGAATTTTAGATGGAACTGGTAACCATTCAACATGTTTATTTTCAGACGTCCAAATGAGAACCTTCGTTCATATGTTGGAGGCTAAATATTTCAGTGATATTCCAGACGTTAACAGCAAGTTGCGAGAAAGCGGAATTCTTTCACGCTTAGATCGACCAAAAAACGATGCAAAATTATCAAGGGAAAATATAAATAACAATATTGCAAAAAGAAATGTTGAAAAACGTATACACAATTTTTGTATTGAATTAGAACGTTACAAGGATACAAAAGTTGGTATAAGAATTCCGAAAGAAGTTCAAGAAAACGCGGAAAAAATAAGACATGAAAATGCTGTTCTGTACCTGCGACAAACTCCATCTAAGCAAGAACAAATAAGAAGAGAGGTGGCGGAGATGCTCGGCCTTTGATTGTTAACCGTGGTTCACTTTCACACTAACCGGATCATAATCGTCGTATGATATTTCAGTTTTGAGTAAGAAAATATCCATTTCTGTGCATGAATAATTTGAGAGGATGCTTGTTTGTGACAATCTTGAATTCTTGATACCATTAATATGTGACATTTACAGTATGGTTAGTCTTGTTGCGATGAGCGAACAAACGCTAATAAACTATAGGTTGTTTTGATAGTTCATGAAACATAACATGTGCGTGAATATAGTTCATATAGAGCATACATGAAGTTTATATATAAATAATTCATATACAAGTAACATACGATATATGCATACATATATGCATAAATTATGTTATAAATAAGATAAAAGATTTTTTGTCTGTTTATATTTCCCATATATTTGTGAAAAGTTAAATACAATCAAATATGATTTTTGTATCAATATTTGTCCGTTTTTGTATAGTTAAGAATAGTTTACCTTTTATTTGACTTGTGTAAACACTTTAGCATTTCATGTTCCCTTGTGTATGGATAGTAAAGTAAACACTGTACGTGATTCATATGTAGCTGTTTTCTTTTTAACCCTGATTATTATTGAACTCTTTGATGTATTTATTCTTAAAGCATGTTTTTAAAGGCACATTATCCCTCAGAAAATTTCTCTAGATAGGGAAAAATCGGCCTGATGGAAGCGCTGAATGTGAAATTGTTTGACAATGTAAACAATGTAGAATTTTGACTTCCATCTCCAAACGACATTTTTACATCTGAATTTCAATCAGATTTGTAATAAAACATAAACATGAACATGTAGATATTTTGTCGTTGGTATTTTGTATTCATGCTTTTTTCTTTCTTTTTTGTGAAAAAAAGGTTAAGCAACTAAAGGAATCTGATATATATTCAGACGCTATATGAAAGACATAAACTATCAATATAATCAAAAATATTTTTAAAGTGAATTGGTTCATAATGGAATGTCTTTAATATCATAAAAGCATGTTGATAAAATTGAGTATTATACATAACAAATAACGGAACAGATACGAATGATGTTATACATAATCTGAGATGACATATCTCTATATAGCAGATTGTTCTAGAACAAAATATTATTGTCAACTGTATAACTGTTCATACTAAATCACTTAGAACTATCATCATTATTTTCAAAGAAATATTTTATGAGAGTAACTAAATGATATACATGTACTTCTTTTTTATCAATATTTTTGAAATATTGAAAATGTGCCCATTTTAAGTCAATTTGCATTAAAGGCCCATTATGCCCCAGAAATGCATTTTTATTCTCAAAAGCATTTCATATTTGGTGTCCTGTTATAGTTTTCAAAATGTTAATTCTTGGCCAATAACCTGAATTATAATTTTGCTTATGTTGCTGTCTAGGAATTAGTACAGCTATAGTGATTCAGTATTTTGTATATAAGTCAAAATGCTTTGTTTACATTTTACTATTTTTTTGACAAATAATTTCACATTTGGCGCTATTTTCTTCGTGTAATAAGCATCTTACATGCTCTAAGATCATTGTTTAAACATTTTAAAACTAATGTTTGCCCTTTCTTAAGAAGGAAAAAAACTTATTCTTTTCTGAGGCATAATTTAACTAATAATGTACAGTTGGAGATCGTTTCAAACATGTGTGCATGGTTGATCCTCGTTTATTACTAGTTATACAGCAGCAAGGCAAGTGTTATATTGCAAACGACCATATAATATGTCAAACATCTTTATAACGAATTTACAACACAACATAATTACTTTGAAGAAAAAACGAAAATTACTTCATAAATGATGGTAGTCTAGTAGATAGATAATATAAATGGCCCTTTGATCCAATGAAAAGCGACATAACAAATGTGCAGTATAATAAATATACATGTACTTAATAAGTTTGTATGTACACTATTTGGTACGTAATGGTAATGGAACGTAATGTTCAGGACTGGTATACACATGCACACGCGCACGCACACATGGTTGTACACAGTTACCATGGCATATACTACAGATTATTGGTGTATAATATTTTGATTACAGTATAGTGATGTGATCATTAAAACATATTCATCTTGATTAACATTGTAACTTACTGATATGCAGTACTTTTATCATTGAAATATTATAAACACACTTTTAACTTCAGATCTTTAATGAATCTTAATGTATATATACACAGATAGGATTCCTATACATGCATGTCAAACATTCAGTTAAGATGATATAAAGAATTGCAACAAATACATATACAAATTACAAGGTGGTAAATTAATTAATAAACTACCCTTTATTGACATTCCTCTATTAAACACCATTTTAAATTTGAGAACCTTCGTGAATCTATCACTGCACCAGTTTGCACGTTCATTTTCAATCTTCTAATGAGTTTGATTAAAAAATATAGTATACTTTGATTAATAAAACTCAAATTCTAGTCATACCTTTATGTTTTTGCCACATTGATGTACATAAAATTTTAATATTTAACAGCTTTTTTTCCTCAAAATATGCGTAATGACATGTAGGTAATACTTGAACATTTTATGTGTTCCATTTAAACATGTTAAAACTCATATACAACAAATCTATTATGTATATTGAACACACTATTACACTATTTATAGTTCATGTATATAATAATAGGTCTTTATTTTCTCAAAAATACCTCATACTGTATAACAAAAACTCAGTCTGTAAGTTAAATACCTTATATAGCTCATACAGTATGTTAAATATTGTGATGTCATACCTGTGTGTTAAACATGTCTTTTAGACAAAACAATACTTCATAACTGAGTCAATGAAATAAATTACAATGAATATCACAACAATGGTTGGTGGAAATATTTTACAGTCCATGAATCACAGATGTTACACTTGTCACCGTGGACCCCATTTAATGTCTTTAAGGCCATGGAAATTTCTCTTCAACGCCTGAGTATCTGCCCAGTCTGAATCTAGGTAGGCATCTTCAGCTTCCTTGTCCAATTTCTGAAGAGCAAAATACAAATAGTTCACTCTAATATCAGTTTTATGAAAATAATTAATGTTTTTTTTTTCAATGGAAATTACTTTTTCCTTTGTATGAACACTGAATTGTTAGTATCTTCATGAAATGAAACTGGGATATTTGTATTATTTCTCTAGAAATGTCAAGGCTTACATACATTTACACTACAGTTAACTGGTCTGTCAATGATTTCAAAACATTTGGCAGTAGCATCAAGTATTTGCAAAGTAATAAAAAGCCACTTCTTGTCAGGAAAGTAGGATAAATATAAATAATGAAATCATTAAAACAAAATTGTTTGTTTCAAATGAAATAAACTCTGTAAATTTCCGTAATTAAAGTTGTCATATTTAAGTGGTATTGACATTTCTAGTATTTTCTTTTTTACATATTCTATTTTGTAAGTTGTTTTGAATACACATATAGTTTACAAAAATGCAACTACAAGGAGTAAAGACTGTGTAACTTTACAGAAAATTGAGTAATTTCTGTAAATTTAATGGCTGGACCGAATATCGACTTGTGTCAAGATTGTGACTATTATAGATTGTATGTTTATATGTTTTTATATGTTTTATACCTTTTTATCATTATATAAACTAAGGCTTTGTTCACAATATAACAAGAGGCGTTTTAAATTTGGAAAGGTTTCACTATTTAAAGTTTCTTTGATTACTGCAATGAAAATGTAGTGCAACAAAATTTAAAAGTTTCATTTTGCATCCTCTAACCCTTACACATTTTAATTTATTATCAGTAATGTTGAAATATCTCAATTAAATGTTTTGTTTTTAATCAATAAAGGAAAGTCTGAGTTGAAACTGTTTTTGTTTTCTCACAAATTACAATGTCTGTCAATATTGAGCTTCCTCTACTTTACAATTTCAAGAAAAATCAAACTTGTCTTTCATAAATCAGAAATGAATAGATACCTTCAAAATTTAGAAAAAAGTCTCATAATATGCTAACAGAATCTTTCATGATGCTCAACTACAATAACTTTTTTTAATCTACAAACCAAATCAGTAAAACGACATCTTATTTACTTCTCAATTCAAAATTACCTTCATTTCCTCTTGTTTCTTGTAATAATAAGCCATCATTTCCTTTTGTTGATCTTCATTAACTACAGGCTCTCTTGATGGAGCTCCTTGTCCCTTCTGTAATATCAAATATAAACTGCTCAATTTGTATTATAGGCAACATTGAATTGGGACAAAATTTGAGCTATGAAATTACAATATGGCATAAGAATGTGCATATTGTTACAGGATCAAAATGCCCAGGTTGTAGGATTGCTTTATACCTGGGACATATGATAATATTATGTTCCTGATAAACATACATGGAAACAAATGAACTGTTTGGTTTTGGTATACGTTCTTATTTGTGGCAATAAACAGAAATAACTTATCCCATTATAATATAAACATTGAACAGTATTAAGCTTAAAATATGAAAATTATACCAGCTATGTTAGATAAATTATCTTTCCTGTATTCATTTTGGTTACTGTTCTAGTAACACAGCATATTATGCAACAAAAAAACATGTTTTACTGACTATTTAGTCAACTTAAGAGACCATAGCAATATGGATTTTCACATTACGACTAAGTAGACCAGTATTTACCGTATACTTGAAAATTTTATCTCATTTTTTTAAACTTTACAATCTGGACGTATGCTGCTTTAAAGGAAATGAATATAAAGAAGAACTAGAAATGTGTCCATAGGACACGGGTGCCCCCACCGCGCCACTGTTCTGTCAATCTTTTTACTAATTCAAGGGAAATAACTCTACAAATACTGGATAAATCCACAAGCAAAACCCCAGGTGCAAATCTAAAATATGCTGAGCAACCTGCCCATAAGGTTTAATGACTATGTCAAATCCTTTTTGAGAAACTTGCGACACAAGTTGAAAATTGCAAAATTTAAGTGAAGGGCAATAACTCTAAAAAATACAAAATAAATCCAGACGAAAATACCTGGTGCACAATTGCACATGCTGATCAATATTCCTGTAAAGTTACATGACTCTAGCCGTCAAATACTTTTGAGTTACTTGCGACACATTTGAAAATTGCCAAAATTTTTAACTAAACTCAAGGGCAATAACTCTGAAAAAATACTAACAATATCCAGAAGAAAATACCCAGGTGCACAACTTACACATGCTGATCAACATTCCTGTAAAGTTTCATGACTCTAGGTGAAATACTTTTTGAGTTACTTGCGACACAAGTTGAAAATTGCAAAAATTTTACTAAGTCAAGGGCAATAACTCTGAAAATACTAAAAATATCCACACTAAAAAATATCCAGGTGCACAACTACACATGCTGATCAACATTCCTGTAAAGTTTTCATTACTCTAGGTCAAATACTTTTTGAGTTACGTGCGACACAAGTTGAAAATTGCAAAATTTTACTAAGTCAAGGGCAATTACTCTGAAATACTAAAAATATCCAGACGAAAATACCCAGGTGCACGACTACACATGCTGATCAACATTCCTGTAAAGTTTCATGACTCTAGGTGAAATACTTTTTGAGTTACATGCGACACAAGTTGAAAATTGCAAAATTTAACTAAGTCAAGGGCACTTACTCTGAAAATACTAAAAATATCCAGACGAAAATACCCAGGTGCACAACTGCACATGCTGATCAACATTCCTGTAAAGTTTCATGACTCTAGGTGAAAAACTTTTTGAGTTACATGCGACACAAGTTGAAAATTGCAAAATTTAACTAAGTCAAGGGCACTAACTCTGAAAATACTAAAAATATCCAGACGAAAATACCCAGGTGCACAACTACACATGCTGATCAACATTCCTGTAAAGTTTCATGACTCTAGGTCAAATACTTTTTGAGTTACGTGCGACACAAAAGTGAACGGACGGACGGACGGACGGAAGGACGAACGGAAGGAAGAACGGACGGACGGACAAGGGTAAATCTAAATGCCCGCCACTATTGTGGGGACACAAAAAAAGTTTTCATACCTTTTGAAGTTTTGCTATCACTTTTGTTTTTTCATTTTTGCCAACAAAATCTTTTATAGGTCTTCCTCTTAACATTTCTTTTCCTGAGAACCACAGTGAAGCATTCTGCTCTTCTATCACATCTAGTGAAGCCTGATATATAAAATTAATGTTACATATGATATGTCTACACATACACTATATGTACTGTAATCATTAATAAGGAATATTCTTTGTTAAACTCTCTGTCAATTATTCAACGTAAAAATCACAAAACCTTAATAAATTGCTGTATGCAAGTCTAAAATTGTGTCTCGAGTGGGAATTTCCCATTTTAACACAAAGATTTCTAAAAAATGGATAATAGTGAACTGTTATTTTCACTGAAACTTCTTTTGCTTTATTTATATAAATACTATTTGTATGTATATATTGACGTTACAATCTTGTTTAGGCTATATTATGTTCACAATAATGTTGGACAAAATGAGTCTGTTGTGATTGAGAGCACTTATGAAAAATACTCTATTAAACTCTACTAACTTATTTCATTTATATGTTAGATTTTAACTAACCTAGAAATGGATTTTTATATTTCACAATTGTGCAACATGAATTTACTTTTTCTATTTCACAAGACAACTGTCAGCACAATGAAAACATTATATACACTACCATTAACTATGCAGAGATACATGTATATAGTACATAAAAGTTACATACTTGTGTTCCTGAGAGATCTTCATTGTTCTCAAATTCCATTTTGATATTTTCATGGGGAGGTAGTCCCATTGGGTATACAATAGTTACTGCTCCTCTAAGAATGTCCAGGGCTTCTTTAACTGTTTGTTGAGTAACCATCTCATTTGCCTGTACCTTTTTCTAATAAAATAAATAATTCATTACTTTTGTTTCAAAAGGAAATATTTCATACATTTTTCCAATTACAGATAATATCACTCAAAAGAGTTATCGTCTTTTAAGACTATTAATAAAAAAATTTATCCTTGGAAGACAGATAAATCTTCCCAGCTTTATCATATTCAGATACCCCTTATACTGTGTACCTATCACAATTATTAATGTACATGTATTTATCATATTTGAATTTATTTCAATAAACTTAAAAAGGCATGAGTGATAACTTTCATGGAAGTAAGCACAGTTTATCATTATTACATATCTATATAAAAAGTTACCTTTGAAATCATGTCCTTTGCTTCAGAACATGTTTTCTTAAGAACTTCAGCCATCTTTTCTGTAGGAGCTGCAATCATGAAAAATGCCAGAAAATTGGAGATAGACAGAATAAATATTTTAAACTAAATCATACAGTTAAATATGTACAGAAAGTAAGATGTTATACAGGGCTTCTGATAATTAAATAACATTTTTTACTGTAATATTATGACCGCATTTTATTACAATGATTTGGCATCTTTGCAAGAATAATAATAATCAAATGTTTATATTTGAACACTTATTTTGTGTTACCTTGCCCATTTCTCCTCCCTATTTTATCATCATTTTCTCTGACTCCACCTTGTGGGGTACATTTCTCTGCCCATTCATCTTTTAATTTGAGTTCAGATATTTGCTCGTCTGTGAGGCCCTGCATGTTAGGAGGTAGTGTTATTCCATGCTCTGCCAGATCTTCAATTTCTGAAATTATATAACCACATGTACATTGAAAATCTTAATTGCGATATTTAACAAAGTATTAAAGATTCAAAGCTGGTAAAGAATACTTCAATAACTCAAATATAATTATATAATAACTATATTGCTTATTTCAAATATGGATGTGCTTGATTCAAGAGAAACGAAAAGAGTAATTGGAAGTTTTTGAGGATAGAATCTACTGTTATGTACATTGTGTAGTTTACTCTAGTAAACTCCAGAAATAATCAAGCACACATGTATGTGTTTATGCTACTATGCTATTTCTTGTTGTAGGTGTTATCCTGAATTTTAAGTCATTACAAGAGCTGTCAGCAGGACAGCCTGCTCAACGTTTTGCATTGCTTGATAATTAAACAATAGACTGGATAATGTAGAATTTTCTAATTTAAAAAGGTTCCATAATTCTGTCAAAATCCATGTTACATTTATGGGCCTTGGCTAACTTTTAAAGAAATTTCAACCTATTCCCTTCAGTAGTCTTGAAAATACCAAAACAGATACCAACTCACATCCAAAAAAATAACCAATGCATGATAGTGATGTGGGGGGAATCAGGGTCAGCTCGGCCCTATTCCAACTCAGCACGGGTCAACTCGGCCCACAATTATATATTACTGGTAATGATTACTTTTATTACTTTTGATATGTTTTCATCATAACTTTCATGGTTTAACACTTTCACACTAACAGACCTCTACTCAAGGATATTGAAAAGTTTTATTGATGAAAGTACCAATTTGTATGTAAATTTGTAGAGCATGTTTTGCTACTCCAGATTTTTTGTAAAAACTATCGTTAAAAAAGCATTGGTCGTATTAAAGAACAAACAGTATTACATACAATTACATTTATTGTCACAAAAATTCAATCTAAAAACTCTATTTATTGATTAATATTTAACAAATATTGTCTTGATATCTCTTCTTAACAAAGATAATTTCAAACAATAGTACAGGTACACTGCCAACTTTTTCAATTTCTGTTTGTAAGTGATCATATTTCTGAAAAACTTTATAGTGATTTTCTCTTTAAAATTTTTATTAACTAAACAATCTATATCCTAATATATGTTTATAGAGGGCCGAGTTGACCTGTGCCGAGTTGACCCGTGCCGAGTTGGTATAGGGCTGAGTTGACCCTTTACCATGTGGGGGCAGCAGTCCCTTATTATAATATTCTTGCTACCATTATAATCAAGTGTGATAAATTAAACTGTTCATCTTATTACGCTCATATTAATTAACAGATGTGTTTCATTTAATTACCTGCACATAATCTCTGAACCTTTAGTCTGCCATTGTATATAGCAGAAACATCTGCTAACACCTCATCAACAGAAGTGTCAACTGTTGTCTCATAAATGAACTGAGGCTCATCCCCTTTCTTGATTGATAGCTTCACCATACTTACAGATCTGCAATATAAATACACAAATGACTAAAATCTTTGATATATTTTAAATTTTACTGATCAACAATGATCACTAGCTAATGTTGAAATATAATATAAAATATAATATAAAATATATATAATATAAAAAAGTTATTGCTATCAAATAGTTGCACGTTTTCTCTAAATAACCACTGATAACACTGAATAATATTTATAAAATTATTGACCTATCATTTAGGAACGTAGGATGAAAGGTAGGCATTTGAATTTCAAAAACATGGCTATGAATAGCTGAAAGTAATTATTTACCTTGTTAACGATATTCCTTGTCCTTAGATTTTTATGGTTACGGTATAATTCCAGAAAATTCTTGGGCATGTATCAACAGATTTACACCGGATGTTTACACCAAGAGACGGAAGTACTTGATAAAATCTGTTCTTAAACGTTAGATAACCGTACTGTTAGCGGGTAGCAGACGTTTTATTCCCAATACGTTTCTTACCAAGGCGATTCACACATAATTTCATGCCTAAACACCATAACGAATGGATGAGTTCTATTAAATTTAGCAAATTTCCCTTCAATGAAATCCATATTGAATAAATTACCATCAATTATAAAACTTCTTTCATCTTAAAAAATATAAATAAAAATTATCTTAATTTTAATTATAGGCAGGTACACAATTATTGTTTTAATCATATGTTTTAATATAAAAAAAACCCCTATAAGTGTACATTTTACTGAAATTATGTCTCTGAAACAAAATAATTTCTTTAAATATAATATTTGTAGACTTAAACACCTTTCTTTAAAGACATCAAATTGACTTCAGAATGAATACATGTATTTTACAGATTAAAGAAAAACAATTTTATTTTGTTTAAACTATTTTGGTTCAGCTTCATTGTTTGGGAAGCTATCATTCTTTGATACGTTGATATAATTAATTGATACCACGTGCATTATAATATTGAAACCTCCGATTATAACAGTCAATCTTTTGAAATATATAATCAATTCAGCTCAACTTGACAATGGAGAATGAGCATGATGTAACCTAAGACAAGTGAAATAAATGCTAGAAAATATAGAATGATACCAGTAACTGATATTGAAAATTTATCATAATGGTATCAGGGATGTACAGATCTATTACCATATGTATATACATTCCTGATGATATGAGTAAAAGTTAATAAATGACAAGTGTAGATTTTGATTAAAGATCCTGTTCGACAATTTATTTATGATTTTCTATCATAAATATGATGCTCAAATTAAGATTTATCAATTCACTAAGTTCCAAAAGCATTATTTATAAAGATATTACCGAATTTTTACATTTCATGTAAATAAAGGGAGGTAATAAAAAATATTTTCTATAATCTAAGTCCAATTTTTCAATAAAAAATAAATGCACATATTTTAATGATTACATATATACTCAACATCACTAATTCCGCGTCATCATTTATTTCTAATGGCATATTATCATGTGACCAGTGTTAAAATTGGTCAGAATTGACATATTTTATTCATACACCTATACAACAAAGTGTTTGTGCAAAATATTTAAAATCTATAGAATTTTACGTAAAACAGAACAACATTTTACAAACTTCTGCAAAAAGCAACATTAGTCCAATAAAATTTGTACATACGTCTGTTCAAACAAACATCATTTTCTAAATGTTCTTGTTTGTTGAAAAAAAAAATGAGTGACAAAGTAAGGATTATTTTAATATTTAAAATCAAGCAAAATAACATGTAGGAATTTTAACTGAAACATGAAAAACCTGAAATGTAACACCATTACCGCGATTTATATGATGACACACTGTTTTCAAAATGGCCGACATGTGGTCTACGTCTGGTTCATTTAAACTAATTTTGGCTAAATATATTGTTGTTTCCTTGTGTCATACAGCAGAAAATACCAATATGTTACAGCTACCATAAGTTTCAAGTGTTGTTTTCTTTCATGGTTCAAAGCGTTAAGTACCGTGAACTAAGAGGAGAACAGTATAATATGTACAAATATAATTTGCAGTACATATTTTATATATTCTTCGATGTTTGAGCATAATTATATACATATATATAATTTCACTTAAGTATGGTATACGACCTCAATTACAACATACAGGATCTTTAAGTGAATAAATCTATGCTTATTTTATATCATTTAGTATTTAGCACAATGTTGTGAATTCTCGACCATCTGAAAGTTCATTTTCAACTGTTTTTGGAAATGTTAGAAATACAAATCTGACTAAACTATTTATGAAAAACCCTGATCGACTCTTTTTATGAATAAGTGTCACGGGTAATTTCAGTATATCATGTTATTATCACAAAAATCATATTCCAAAGAAAAGCAATTTACTTTTTTTTCTTACAAAAAGCTCTGCGTAAAGACAAGTCATTTCCGGAATGCATACCGGGTCTTTTATTTTAGACGTGAATAAATTGTCAGTTATTCCCCTTATAAAAAATTACGACATTTACACTTCAAAAGTGACTGTCTGACTGAAGTCAATTTAATTAACATTAAACACTTAAATTAATGCTTTAGAACAGGTAAAATATTTGCGTTGGCCGTACTGATGATGTAGAAAATTTATTCCACATTAAATTCGTTTAATGACTCCTTTCGCGCTAAAGGCATGTTAAATATGTATAAATGATTCGCCCAAATGACTATTCGCCCCATTACGACTCGCCCTACATTAACACAAGTATTTAAATTTTCCTTAAGGTTATCATAATTATGAAATCATATAACTTAATGTTTGTTTTGGTATATTTGTTGAATTAAATGTTCTCTGGAACAGAAATTTTTCATTTTAACTGTTGGGTTATCACAATATTAAAATTCATAATGATTTGCACTAGTTCAGTGACGATTGCCCAACTTCAATAATAGTCTTTCACCATGTTCTTAATCATTTTCCTTCAAAAAAGTTAAAGTTAGATATTTATACTCAGGGATTTACCAACCCTTTTTATATTAGGGGTCCATTGGACACAGGATCTATAAAAACAGGGGTCCAACACAAAATTTTGGGGGTCCACTTCCAGACAATTTTCGAAATTGCTGACTGCTTACAGAAGAAGTTCACTAAGATTGCAATATAAATGACTATTGTAAACAATTTTGGATTTATTTCTCAAACAAAAACAACTTTTTAGTATTTTGACTAGAAACATTCGTTCATTCGAAGCTCTTTTCACTTGTATCTATCTAACCAGACAGACGGGAATGTTGTGTCACGTTTCTGTTTTGTGGATTGTTAAGATGATGTACTTGTTCAGTTACAGGCGACAAGACAGGCTCATTGTCATCTCATTTTTGTTTCGGACCACCCCAATTAAGTCAGCCTGTAAACCGAAAGTACTGTCATAGATAACGGTAACAACCGTGTGCTCCGACTGATAATAATATCCGGGACACATGGGTGCTCACTAATGATTGGTCGGTATTTTAAATGCAGACATTAACTAGCCAATAAACTGACACGTTACTATAAATACCAATTGGTGATTCCCATGACCTTCACCACTAACCAAAACAGTTTAGATATCATAAAAATACGGAAAGGAGAGTAACTCTAAACAATTTTTGTGTGGTCATGATACTAAGTATTTATTTTAAAATATGGAAATTACAGTTACTTTAGACAATTTTTCTGCGTCCATGTGTACGCAGAATTTATTTTTTGTGCATACAGGATGGCATTTTATGCGTATATGACGCAGGATCCTTCGTCCGGTAAATCCCTGTATTCTTTGCATCTGAGTCTGGTGAAAAAGTTAGATATACTTGGGTGGCCATGATTCGTTACCCTAAGCATTTTACAGTGCTAGTTTGATACACTACATTTCCGTATGATCCAAGCTTTCTATGATAAAGAAATTTTGCAGATACATTAAATTTACTGATGTATAAAAATATACAACTGTTTTCTTTATTAACTGACATTTGTTGAGACTTTCTGACATACAAAGTAAGGGTGTTGACTCTAGGACAGGGACGAATTTAGGACACCCGACGATATATTCTTTGATTCTGGCTCTGGTGAAAAAGATAAGCTCTACCAGTTGGTGGTATACATCTAAATACTGCATCTTTTCAGTTAAAGGCTTTCAGTTACTTAATTGTGCTGAAACTTCTATAAAATTACAAGAACAACTTAATGTAATTGATCAATTTTGCTTGAACACAGGCATGGAAATTAATCTTGACAAAACAGAGATAATTGTATTTCGAAATGGAGGTCGTCTTCGTAATTATGAATCTTGGTCTTTTCGCAGTCAGCCTGTAAATTAAACTGCTGTTTATAAATATATGGGTTTGTTATTCACTCCACAGCTATCATGGAATGTAGCTCATGATAAATTAGCTTCACAAGCTCAAAGAGCAATTTTTGCTATCAAAGGTTATGAAAAACCATTTGGTAATTTTCCCATAAAGGAACACTTTAAAATTTTTGATACAATGATCAAACCTATTCTTTGTTACGGATCACAGATTTGGGGATATGAATTTGGTCCAACTATAGAATCTGTTCATAATATGTTCTGTAAGGGTTTATTAAATGTTCGAAAAAATACAATTACAAGCATGGTGTTAGGTGAATGTGGTAGACTCCCACTTTGTATTACTTATTATACAAATTGCATCCGTTATTGGTGTAAGCTATTAGTTATGCCACCATGCCGTTACCCAAAACAATGTAATTTAATGTTAAAATCACTAGATGAAGCTGGAAGAACTTGTTGGGCTAGTAAAATACAAATACTTTTGTACAGTTACGGATTTGGCTACATTTGGATGTGAATATTTTTGGTAGCATTTTTAAACAACGCATAATAGATTGTTATACTCAAAATTGGCATGATAATATTAACAATGCCAGTAGATGTCACCATTATTGTTATTTTAAAAGCTTATTAAATGTAGAACAGTATCTTCTAATAGAAATCCCTGTAAAACATAAGAAAGCATATGCTAAATTTCGATATTCAAATCACAAACTTAATGTTGAAATCGGTAGGCATTTAAATATACCTTTTCAAGAACGCTTTTGCAACTTTTGTCTTGAAAATCATTTAACTTATCATATTGACTGTGAATATCATGCTTTTTTTCATTGTAAAAAATATTTAGAAATTAGAAATACCTATTTACTAAACTGGTATAATTCCGGAAATGAATTACATAACTTTTATGAATTACTTTCATCAAATGATATTTTTATAATTAAGAAAATCTCTGCTTATATTTACCACCTCATGATATCTATAGCACAGTAGCATTTAAATGTAATGATTGTCAAAACTTGTAAAAGACACAACCTTATAATGTTAAATATCATATTTTGTATGACATGTATTTTGGGCCGGTGGCCTTTATTTACTGAATAAATCTTTTGACTTGACTTGACTTAATAACTGTAATTTCAAGTTTTTGAAAAACAACAAAATATATATGTTAGCATACTTAGAATAACTAAAAAATAAAGTTGTCAACAATCTGCAAATAATGAATAATTGTGTGAAAATTAACAATTAACACTTACTCATAACATTAATTTATTTATTATAAGTTATATAACTCTGAAAGTTATATAAAATATACACAGTTTTTCCAGTTATCAAATGTGTCCCCAAAATTGGTAAGTTGGGCCCAAAAATTTGTTACTTCAGTTTTAAAATTGATTCATTCAATTCCAAAATAGATTCTCTGTTTCTCATGCTTTTAAGTCACTGACTATTTTGTTAGATAATTGTAATGTTTCATGAAACAATTTTGAAAAGAGATACATTTTAGCTTTGTGAATGGTGCCCTATTTTGGTTCCAAAACTATGGGGAACAAAGCTGTTGGCAAATGACCATTAGACAAAATGTCCCAGAGCGCTTGTCACAGAAAAAATTTTACCTCAGTGGCCAGAGGTCTGAACCAATTACCTTTGGATTATTTTCCATTTCTCTCCCTATTGAGCTAAGTGGGTGGATTTGTGAGCATACAAAGTTCTTGGATCTGACACTATCCAAGACTCAATGATATCTGTGTCATGTATTTTTAAATGAAAGCCAGGTTCAAGCACAGAGCACAATTTTCTACAGACATCACTTACTGAGTCACCTCTATTATAATACAATTGAGTGCCAAACTATTTTTATATACACAATATGCACACATGCAAATTCATATAAAACAACAATGTAACTTATGATAGGAATCCAAATGCAGTCATCAAATTTAACACTGGCACTGTGGCCCATGGCCAGTGAAAATTAGTTTGGGCCAGTGTACATTTTAAGAAAATTTAGTTAAATATATAGTAGAATAAAATCAAAACTGGAATTCGGGCCAGTAAATTCAAAATCTTAAATTCGCTGACTGCAAATGTGTTTTACAACAAGTTCATTGTTATGAAGTGTCAGAAAGTTTGTTCTTTATGTCTATGATTTTCACATCTTTGGGAGTCAAATTATTTAAGGGACAAATTCTTGTTCTGCTATAATGTTTTTAGAAATATTACGGTTGATACTTTGTGTCATACACAGTTAGTGTTGACTCTAGGACATGAAAGAATCTAGGGCATTTGACTATACATTGTTTTGTGATAAACAAATTCCACATATTGTTTCATATATCTCATTTTGAAAGTTGTCGTGGTCAGCTTTAATACATATGTTTGTAGTTTAATATTTTATTTCCAGACCTCTACACCATGGAGCAGATTATTAACATGGTTACTGGATGTCTCATCATAAAAGATGTTGATGTATGTATTGTAGTTCAATATAACATTGATTATTTGTGTTATATTTTGTTTTATTGTGTAAACTATGGCACAGCATTGTGATAAAATAATTAAATAAAAGTGTTCTTACTCTAGGTTCTTTACTGAAATTTATAAAGTTAACACTACCGGTAAGTCTTTGAATAAAAAAATATTTAATATTATTATTATGAGTATTATTGTATTGCATCATATTCTATGATATTTTTTATGATTGTATTTTGTAATTATATTTTTCATTATATTTTTATATTCTAATAGAATTTTGAAACATCTTGTTATGTGATTTTGTTGATTCTTTTGTATAATGATGTTGCATATCTGTGCTGTTTGATTGTGTTGTATGATTATGTTGTATTATAGTTATTGTATGACAGTTTTATTTTATAGGAAGGAGAAGACTCGGATGATGATGGTGGGGATGATATACAATGGGTGGGGTACAAAGAGGTTTCTCAGCTTGGTAGAGGAAAATCACTTGTACCATATGAAAAACAAAAAAGAGTAACAGGTCTGTTTTAATGACATATTTGTTTGTATAATTTATGAAATGAATATGTTAAAGAATATGAAAAACCTCTTTTATGAATACTTTTCATACATGCAATGAAGTTCTTATTAAGAATATAGTACATATCACCCCCTATCATTAAGAGGAAAGGAACACAAAAACACTTGCCCATCAACACTGTTAAAAAAAAGGTAAACACTGTTATGCTGGTATAAGACAGCTATCCACCTAACTCACAGAACAAAAAGTCTGCTTGTGCCTAAAATATATATAGAGAGTTGTCGGAAATCTTTCTCCATTAGTTTAGCCTAAAGTAGTTTCAGATTGACTATTGGACCAAAAAAACCTGATAAGAATAATCAAGAGCGGATATGAAAAAGTGACCATCATTAAAACATTTCACTGTTGTTATTCTTTTTAGAGATCATTCATAGATATCACATGCAACATATATATACACGTATATGCATTCCAGAAGTAATCATAGGTATTTGTTACCTGAAAGTCAATTACTGTTTCAATTTCAGGAGAGCTTATTGATCTTAAGACAGGAAGACCACGCAGTGTTGCTGGACCATTTCATTTCACAGACCCCTGGTGGCAGGCGACAATTCTCAGAACAAAGAAGTCTAAGGGAAAGTTACTGGAACCGAAGGACTATTATTCGTTCTGTTATAGACTAAGAGATGATGAGCGGAGGTTTACAGATCGTGTAGTACATTTGTTCTTGAGTAAGTTACAAGATAGCTTGACGGAGGAAGATGATGCAGGGAACAAAATCAACATATCTCCATGGTTTTCAGCTGCCAGGATGCAATTTGAGACATTCTTGAAGTAATTATAATAATTTCCTATCTAACTGGTTTTTTTTACTCTCCTCCACACAAATCTTATTTTTTGCTGTAAGTATTTTCTTGGATAGGAGAGTAAAGATCTTCAAAAGAAACTCAAGTTTTGAGATATTATTGCTGTGTTTGTTCTTTGTGACATTTCAGAAAATTAAAATCTGTTCACATGCCATTGCTTAAAAATGCCACATTTACAGCATTATATGACATATCACTGTTACAATTTTTTTTGTATAAAGAAACAATTAATACTAAGAAAATCAATAAAAGTGGAACAAACAATCAACACAGGACAAGTTTTAAGGTTTATTTAATGACGATAACGATGTTTCGACTCTCACGAGTCTTCATCAGGGTTATAAAATATATAATTAATGTTAATTATGTTTACTTCATACATCATAAAATATAAGAAAATAAGTTTCTTGTCTTTTTAGGCTGATAAATCTTAGTTGAATATAATTGCAATAGGTGTGAACTTTATGTTGTTAAATGTAAATGTAAATCTACAAAATTGTTATTTACAGACAGAGAGGTCAATATGATGACCTTGACCTACTTAACATTGAGGAGAGACTTGAAGCATATGTGGCAAGTTTTCCTGAAGATGAACAAACAGAAAGTTCCTCACATTCTCAGTTTAAAAATGCCATTATAGACTCAGGTAACATTTTAAGTACATCTTCTAGAAATGCTTACTTGTTTTATATAATAAATTATCTAGTATTCATAACTAAGCATGCATGATTTTACATGAAAATGACATTATTCCCAAGTGTAAATAGTGAGTGTACTGGAATAAAATAAAAGTGTATGTTGTTTTAGATTCACACAACTGAATGAATTTTTGCAATAAAACTAACTTTATTTTTGTGTTATTGAAGATTAAGCCAATGAAAAAAACCCTTTAATTCTATTCTTCATAAATTATGTTTGTTAGTTCTTTAGGAAACTTGTATGTCCTAATCTTAATTTTACCAAGTATGGTTAAATGGAAATTCTCTTCATTTATAAAAGTCATTGTGAAAAAAAAGATATTTTGCTCATTTTAATATTGCATTGTAGATGTCTTATGTAAAGATACTTCTTGTTTGTGTTTTTATACATTTCTATAGGTAACTACATATTGACATAACAAAAGGATGTATTATTTCTTCCTTCAGTTGAATTCAGTTTTATAAAAGCAGCAGAATCATATCCAGAACTACTGCACTATATCCCACAACTGTTTCCTGGTAACTTTAAGAAAATTATCTCTCTGGATGAAGATAAACTTAAGAAACTGAAAACTATGTTGACAGACAATCCAGGATTTCTAGCATTTAAAGCAGTAAGTTATGTTTCAGACTTTTTTTCCATTTTTTATTTTGATAAGTTCTTTAAGCATTGACACAGGACTTAAAACCTCCAGAAAGATATTTAAACAGTTCATAAACTTAAAGCAATTAACTTTCACTGACTAACTGATTGATGCTTAATTATTTTAATTTTAAAAAATACAGTTCGAATACTTGTAGTTAAGTTGAATTTTTACATGTATGGATGCTATCCAGCTAGCTTACACATTCTACCCATGCAATTGTGGCTAATATAATGTAAAATTAAGCTTCATGTGGCCATAACAAAAAGTTCAGCATATCTGAAAGTAATATTTTCAATGCAATAAGTTATGTCAACAATATGACTATATTCAGGTTGTCTCGAAGAAGTGTGGTATTCTCGGCTGTGAAACATCATATGATGCACTGACAAAGTCTGGCTTGTTGAGCAAAGTTCCTCAGGATGTACAAGATGCTATACTAATGTATGAGTTTATCAAGAAGGAAACAAAGGAGAATGGCCATACATATGTACACTTCAGTAGAATTTTAGATGTTCTTGGGTAAAACAAATTTTATTTAGTTTCTTTAATTTGTTTAACCATCATCTATGTCATGTGCACTTTGAAGCAAGATATTTTCCATTTTTAGAAAATGAAATTTAATTAAATAACCCTGTATACAGGTTTACAAACATGTTTAAGTTTATATTAAATTTTATTTCAAAGTCGGTCATTGATGTTCTCATGAATCATGAATCAATTTAAAGTTTCAGAATTTTTTTTAACACATTTAAGAAGAGAAGAGGTTATAACTCGAGCTTAGATAATTGCAGATTTTATTAACAGTTATGATAATTACTGTTATACAAACCATGCATTCTAATACTGTTGTTGTTTTTGTTTTTTGTTTGTTTTATGGTAATGAAATCTCTAAAATTAACACTGGCCAGATTAAAGTTTGAAAAGGATGTGTTTATTTCACAAAGACAATTAGATAAGCTTACTAGCTTTTCAACAGCAAATTGGTTATTAGATTGGTAACATCAATGGGCTTGCAGCAGGTGTAAATAATTTCTTCCTTGGGCAACTCCTACATTTCTCGAAATTTCATTGCAACCAAACTTTCAATATTGTTGCATAAAAAAAAAAAAAAAAAAAAAAAAAAAAATATTTTGCAAACCTACAAATATGCATTTGTATTTAGATTTTACATCCTCTCATCCTTTATCATGTAAGCGTGGTATCCCGTTTAGTCAAGCTAAACGTTATAGACGTGTCATTTCCGATGACGGTACTTTTAAGCAGTCTTTAGATACGTTAAATAGATATTTTTCTGATAGAAATTATCCTAAATCTATTATTGAGAAAGCGTTTTCTAAAATTGAAGGCATGTCCCAAAATGATGCTCTAAGTCCCTGTCGTTAAAAATACTAGTTCAATAATACCTTTTACTGTATGTTTTAATACATCTCTGCCTAATATTGGTGAAATCTTAAATAAATATTGGGATCTATTACTTTTGTCTGATAAGGTAAGCGTTAAAAATATACATAACAAGTTCAAACCTATTTTAGCATATAGACGTCCTAAAAACATTCGAGATTATCTTATTAGAAGTGCTTTACTTGATCGCACATTTTTATCTAGCCAATGTTTACGAAGTAGATGTTCACATTGTAACAATATAATTGTTGGTTCCCAATTTAATAGCAGCATAACAGGTAGTTCTTTTTGATTTACACAATGATGTTAATTGTACTACGCGTAATGTAATTTACCTCATTACATGTAAAGGCTGTAAAAAAGCAATACGTAGGTCAAACTAATTAAAATGTATCATGCAGAATGAATAAACATAGATTTGATATAAGAAATTGTGATGTAAATTTAGTTTCACATGTTGCGATCCATTTCGGATCACCCAAAAATAAGTGTTCATTATCAGATTTTTCATTTTTGCCGATAGAAATCATAGATAGCAACATGGACCGGTTATGTAAAGATTCCTTTTGGATTCATAAATTAAATACTTTGATTCCAAATGGACTAAATAATTAAGTATTGTTTGATTTATAATATCTTACATGAATATTTATATGTTTGTCTATTATCTTATTTTTATTAACACTGTCTAATAGACATCTGTATCACTGTTGATCCATTTTAATTCATGTACCAGCTTTATTTATAGCATAAATATTTGTTTCTACATGTTATCATAGTTTTGCCGCTAAACGCCATAACGTTTTTCGCGCGTTTAACGCGTGTTCCGTTATGACGTCGCTTCCGGTAATTTTATTATGTTTTGCACTGATGAAGGCATATAGCCGAAACGTTTGCAATTAAATTAAATTACTAAATGTTCGTGTTTGTGTGGCTTGTCTGATTATAATATTGTTGCATATTATTTGATAATTTTTGGTAGGATAACTGCCTTATGTTTTTACCCTTATGGTTATGTAAAACATGTATTGTCAGAAAGTCTGGTTTTGATTCAATATCCAGTTTCTTGGTTTGATTTTATAGACCAGTTGTTATGCTGTTTGAAGAAGCATTGGAATTTCTGAACAAGAACAAAGTGACAAAGACATTGGTAGAGAATGGGGAAAGACATGTTTTCCTGGTTACACTCTGGATGGCTGAAAATAAAATAGCACATGGCATTAATTCATTGATTAAACAAGATGAGAAACAACCATGGCTACTAGAGGTGGACTGGGATACGTAGGTCAACTTTCCTAAAATGAATCCTGAATTTGTTACTCAGCAAAAGATTAAAATTTATTATAATGATATTTAACAGAATAAAGTATCATTAATATTTATTAATGCATTTTTTGCTGATAATGGTTTATCATTCAAAAGATTTGATACTTCTTCTGAAGGGAACTATGTCCTTGTAGTTAAGCTGTCTAGAGATATAACTTGTATTTGGATCTCCTGGATTTACTAGAACAGATCACATTTGGCTTTACTGTGCCTGCTGAGATCCTTTCCTAGTAAATTCCACTCCGGTCAAATACAAGTTCCAGGTCAAGATACACCTATAAGAACTCTTTTTATCTGTCAGCATGTCGTTTTTTATAAAATACAGTAGAACTTCTCTGAGTCGAACTTCGATTAGTCGATTTTCTCGATGTGTCAGGGTAAAATGAAAGTCCTGATTTTTTCCCCTATATATTCCTTGTAAAAACCTATATATGAGCCGAAATTTTATGTGTCGAATTTTTTCGATGTGTTGACATTTTTAAGTGGTCAGTATAGAATAAATCAAGTACAATTTACCACAAATAAGTCGAAGATCTACTATTATTTTGACAAGTTCGATCTCAATACTTTTTTCACACCTTTTCTAGCTGCGAAGATGATTTCTGTATTTTTGTGTGACAGGTGTTAGTTACATAGCCTTGTGTTCTAACAGCCTTTGTTTGCGTTTAAATGTGTGACAGATTGCTCTAATTGTTACCATTCAAATTACTGTAGTGGTATTTGAAAGTAAACAATAAGAACTACTTTCATTTGAGAACTACTGTGACCCCGTGTCGCATGATAATCACAAAGGGATATATTTACTATAAGCTGGGTTAGTTATTCCCTTTCCTTTTGTTATGTTTTTTGTAACTTGCTTGTATACATAAACGGCTCGAAATTTTGTCATCAAATTGAGACCTATTCATGAGTCGAAGTCCAGATGTGACAAAGTTTTTACACAAGTCCCTTCAACTTCCCGAAGTTTTTCTGTATATTTGATTATATATAGTATAGCAATGTCATTTCAGTGAAGATTTCGATATAAAATAAAGTATATTTGAGTGTATACAATAAAATAGCAATATAATTTCAGTGAAGATTTTGACAGTATAAGACAGGACAATGACCAGCTGTTGGCAGCTAAACTTATTGCCAGTAAACCTGTGGTAGCTATATCTGGTAAAGGTGGTTGTGGTAAAACATATGTGGTAACCAAGGTGATAACTGCTGCCACAGCAAAAAGGTAACCTTATACTATCTAGTTGTTATGGATAATTAAGGTATATCGAAAGTTTAACAAGAAAAGGTTGTAGCTAATAACTTGATAAGAAATGGAAATACCTCCATTTGCAATATGAAAGGTTTTAACCAAATGATGTATGTTTACATCACATATTAGTCTTATTTTTTTAAAGAATTTAACAGCATCTGTAGATTTATAGAAGAGAGGAGGAGGAAGACATCATAAAGATAACACCATAACAGTGAATTTTTATCAAATTATACAAGCAAATTGAACGCAAATTGAAAAAACTGCAGAAAATTCCCAATTTACTTTTGAAGTTTTCAACAATTGTGAACATTTCCTCAAACAAGCTAAATCTTTAGGCATATCATATGCATGTTCATGTTTATCTGAGTAAAAGCCACACAGCATAGCATTGTAGATTATATTAGTAAACAAGAAATATTCTAGCAAATTATAATTGAATCTATAAGATTTATAATGTGATGAGATCTAATTAGTAGAATTATAAAACACAAAGGTATCATTGTTATAAGTTGTAAATTTATTTCTCTTGAAACATTTAATTTCGTTTAAGCAAACTCTTAGTAGACTTCCAGTTACAAATGTTTTTCATGTAGTATTGGTCTTTAAAGTTTAGATGATTTAAGACACACACTGTTCTCTTCATAACTTTAATTTATTTTCTGTATCAAATATTTTAGTCTGTAAATATTAATATATATGTTTTACAGACAAAAGCAGACTGACGATGAAACAAGTTTCCATGGTGATATAGAAGCTGCAGACCTTGCTGATAGGGGAGATGACTCTTATGAATGGAAGGGAGACTATCCTGAACAGAAGGAAGAATGCCCGGAGAAAATAGAGTTACTGTTAACAGCACCAACAGGGAAAGCAGCAAATTTGTTGGGAAAAAGAGCTAAATGTCCATCATTCACCCTGCATCAAGTTATCTATAGCTACAGGAATCAAAAACATGGTATATATGTTAAGTTGACTTGTTACATGTACATAGTCTACCTGATTTATATTTTACGTAACTTTAATTAGGTATTTAAATAGTTAAATTAAATAAACATTTATAATTGAGAAATTTTTTATTTAACTTTTAATTAGGCATTAAAATATCTTAATCATTTTTGGCTTGTCTTTCTCAAAGAAAAATTCTGGGTATTATGATCGCTGTATCATTGTTGTTGTTGTTCTATGTTGTTGTTATGCAAAACTTTTATGTAGCCCATTATTCAAATATGTAACAATGTATCAACAGGAAATTTGGAATACCCACATTTGTAAGGCAGTGGACATTATTCATAAAGCTATATTTAGAGTGTATTTAATTGGTTTTTTTTCGAAATTTCAAAATTGGTTTTGATAATTTTTAACACCTAAATACTCTTGTATTAGATTTATAAATTGGTATTTTCTTATCTAACTTTTATAGTAGGGTCTTTGGTATTAATGTAAATGTGTGTAATTTTCAGACATACCATGGAAACATAAGGATGTTAACACACTGGTTGTAGATGAATGTAGCTTAGTATCAGTGTCAACCTTCTCATTTCTTATAGAACTTCTACAGGAAAATGCCAAACTCAGGAAAATCATTCTTCTTGGTGATGTTAGACAGCTGCCCTCTATAGAACCTGGCAATTTCCTCACTGATACATTTAACTCATTGTCTAGAATAGGTTAAACTATTAAACTTTTATTTTGATCTTTAATAGTATGGTTTCCACTTCACCTAGAATCATATAGAAATGAATATGTAACATAAATCTTGTTAAATTGTAAAAATAAACTTTGAAATTTGTCGAAGAATTTGTTTGAATAACAGTTTTACGTACAGAAGGAACATAATACAGGCTGTCAACCAATTCCTATATTCCTATAAAACTCCTATATTTTGGGTCGGAATCCTATATTTTAAAAAGCCTCCTATTTTTCCTATATTCTCCTATATTTTGAATATTTTTCCTATATTTTTTTTAAAATATATTGCCGAGGAATTCAAAGAGATTTAAATTTTGGTACTGCTTTTGGCCTTTTGTATTTTACAGGTAAGAGAATGTGTATGCCTGCATCAGCATCACATTACTATGCTCAAGGCTGCTGTGCTCCACATAGCAATCTGCATGGTCACCATGAAAAGCAGTGCATCAGTATGTCAACTTTATTTCAGGTGACCATTCAGATGATGGTCATGCATTGCTGTAACTTTTTGCCAGGATGCTAATGCTGTGGTTCAAAGCTAATGCAGGATGTCCGCTGCGTCCCTAAAATTCCTAAAAACATCCTAATTTTTTCAGTTTGGCTAAAATTCCTAAAAAAGTGAAAAATTCAAAGGGAATTCCTAAAGAAGCCCTATTTATTCACTGAAATTCCTCATTTTTTTATCTTTTGTTATAAACATACTTATTACTTGTAACCCTGTCAAAATAATCACGGACATAACTCAGTCAACCATGTTTTGAACATGGTCAAAAATGATTTGGCCATGATTTGCCAACACAAAATTGATGACATTGAAATGGTTTCGTTTTAACTAAAAGTTACTTTGACTATGTCAGTAACATTGCTATTTCATAATCAAAGCATTTGTTGATCATCATGTTGACAGCAAAAATACCAAAAATACTACCATATCATGGTCCTGAAACTCAAATCATAACCATAAGAGTCCACTTATTCTGGAATATCTTGACACTTTTTTGCCAACTTCAGATATCTTGAATTTTATGTTTGTTCATTTTATCCAAATTTTCTGAAGTGGTCCATTTGTATCATATCATATTTAAAAATGATCATTATGAAGCTGTTGTAACACAATCTTAATTAAAAACATGTATAAATAGTTGTCAAAAATTAATGTACAATTTGTTTACTCACAACTCTTTTATGTATATATACTCTATATATTATCTGCATAATATCAAAACAACATTGTAAAGTACTGAATGGGTTAACGTAGACTTTGAAAAATTAATTCTTTCCCTCATACTTATTTATCCTTTTCGATGTCATTGTAGGAGAAATTGCTTATTTTGCCACAAAGCTTTCAATTTCATTCAATTCTTGTTCTTTCATTCATCTGGTACAATTTAGGAAAAGGCAGACTCATATAATTAATCACACTCAAAAATAATTTGGCAGTTCAATAATATAAAGCTCATTTCCAATTACAATGTACACACATTTTGCAATTATGTGATCTAGATAAACTGCAATTGAATGGTCTGTGTGATGAACTTTTTTGATGTGCAATTCTTTGTGTTGATTATAGATGCTTCCCATTTATTCAAATGACTGTACTAAGGCAAATGCCTTTTTACTTCCTGCTTGTAGAAAAAATTTCATTTGTCCATATTCAAAAGCTGCATTGTGCAAGAATTTTACTGTATAAGAATTCCTTTTAGACACTTGTGGTTATAACATTCCCAAAACATTGGTAAAACATGTTCTTTTTGACATGTTCAGCCAATTTAAAAAAAAATGGTTTGAACATGATTTGACTAAGACCATTTCCGAAGGGGAGGCAGTTGACCAGTGAGTCCACACTGGTAGCACCTTTGCTCTAACTAAACTAGAGCATTATTTGTGAGTTACTTTTGTGTCAAATATGCAAAGATTAGCCCTCATCATAGTCCTTTGGGACCTGAGTTTATTTATTTATAAAATTGCAAATTTTAGCCCTAAAATTTCTATTACGTACCCTAACATTCCTAATTTTAGCCCTAAAATTTCTGAAATATTACCCTAAAATTCACCCTAATTTTATGTCAAAAGGTGCTGGACAGCCTGCTAATGGTGTCCTTCACTTATACGGTAGACATTTATCGTAGAAACAGCATGTGTAAAAGTAAGAATAATTTACATTTATATAAACATTGGTAAGTTAAACAATTTAAGTTGAAAACTCCTATTTTTTGCCTCTAAATGGTCCAAAAACTCCTATATTTCCTGCAAAAATATTCCTATATTCCTCCTTTATTTTGGAAAAGACCTGGTTGACAGCCTGATAATATTATTATGTACATGTATGAATTCAAAACAGTTTATAAATGTAAAGGATAAAAGGTGATGTAATTTTTGTATATTACTGTATATACAAATATACTGTCCTTGAAAATTTGTCAAAATCTTCAATTAATGAGCATGTATCTGAATGATAATATTAATTGGAATGGTGTAAATACTTAACTTTTGCTGTACTTTACTATGTCATTTAATTGCTAAACAAGGTAACTTCCTTTACAAATTGGTGTTACTGTTAAAAATAGGCATGTTTTTCTCATACTATATACATGTAACTAGATCAGTCTGTTGTTAAAGAACTGTCCAAAAGCTTTCTGATACTTCTTTTCTGTCATTGCCTGTCAAATGATAAACCCTCTAGTACCTGGGGCAATAAGTTTATATTGTTATATCAATTTTTAGCATTTCTTGAAGTAATGAATAGCTTCTCTTTTAACTGAATATCACAACTTGTGACATTGTTACATTTTAAAGGTTGTGGTGTAGAATTAAGGAACAATCACCGTGCAGAGTCAACGAGGATTGTAGAAAATGCTACAAAAATTTCCAAGAAAATTTACCCAGAATTTTACCCAGAACAGTTCAGTTTGAGAAAATTACCATATAGCAATCCTTCATCTAGTGGTGATGATTACACTTCTCAAGGTATTGTGTCTTTATTTTGTTGCTTCATTACCATTATAAAATCAAAGGTCTTCTTACACTTTTAAACTCCGACAATAAAACCCCTTTCAAACTTTTTTTAAAGACAATTTACAATTGATTACAAAAATATGATGTATATAGAAATCAATGGTTTTGGCAGGAACATGTCAGGAATCTAAGAGATTTGCAATTTGAATCAATTGCAAGTAAAAAAAAAGAGAGGTAGAAGAAGCTTATTTTTTTACATTGTGTTTTTCTTTCACTCCTGTATATTCCTTCATTTTATTCTGACCTCATAAATTATGAATATGCCATTGTAACGTTCTTTGGTAAAGATATTTAAACAGACATCACACACCTGTTTATCTTTTGGGTCATAGCTCATAGATATTAACAGATATATTTACATTTTAGTTCTAGCAGCATTATTAGCTTTCCGATACCATTAGTATAGTCTGGTCGGCTTGTACTTCTGTGCAGTTTTACCAGATTCTATCCTATCCTTTTCAGTTTTATTATTAATAGTAAAGTTTTTTTTTTTAACAAAAAAGTATAGGAATATCAAAATATTTTCATGCAGGGATGAAGCATTATGAAGATTTGTACACCTGTTTGGCTGTCACATTGTCCATCTATAGACTGATAAAACAGTGTGAAATGTGAGGGCATCTTTGACACATTGCTAGTACAGGGTTAATTAAAGAATAAAGTAAATGTAAATTTCAGATATAAGTATGGAAGTGATGAAATTATTGAACCATGATTCACTTAAGGATCATGTTACTTCACAGTTTATTAGCTTTACAAGGTAAATACATAAATTATAAGTCAAAACTTCATTTTCTCTGTTTATTGGAAGTGAATTGTTGCGTGCTGCCCTAGGTTTTGTGTATGCGTGTACATTGTATTTGATGAAAATATTAGAATACTCAATTATCATAGACATCTATTTTACATTACATAAGCTAAAATATCTTATTTTGTAAAGTCATATAAAGTAAATTTCTATGAAAGTAATTTATCAAAAACTTTTGTTTGAGACAGTAAGAACATATTTGTATCCATGTTACCAACTTATACATTTTCAAAACTACATTTTGAGAATTTATAATGAATTATTTTTGAAGATAAATCTATGAAAGATAATCAGATATAATTTCTATGAATGTTGTTATTACCAGGAGAGTATGTGACAGTATAAATGACCTCTGTTGTAAGAGGTATAGTGATCATCGTACAAAGGAGTTCGGGAAAATGGTGTTCCGTACTGGTGACAAGATTTGCTGTACAAAGAATGGATATGTCAACTTGTATGAGAAAAGTCATGGTGTGATGACATGTCGTAGCCAGGATACTAAAAAGTTTGTGATATATCATTGTTAACATAGAAAGTTAATGTTCCGAGCTTCTTCTTATAATAAGCTGATGAAAGAAGAAAAACATTGTCATTGAGTAGTCAAAATGAAATGAGTCAATTCATATTTGGGAGGAAATCAGGAAATAATTTCACTTGATTTGCAGTCATTTACTCATTTAAATCTTTTGTTTAACAAAGCTATAATTGACTCGTCTATATATTAGATTGATGCCAAGAAATTAGTTTAGGATTAGAAATCATTCACCTAGTTAATTGTCAAGTTTAGTTTAAGAATTTATATATCAAGGGTCATGATGTTTTAGGGTCACAAAGTGACAGGGTGAGCTTTTGTGATCGCTTTTCGTCCGGCGTCCGTCCGGCGTCCGTCGTCCGTCCTCCGTCCGTAAACTTTTACTTTAAATGACATCTCCTCATAAACCACTAAGCCAATTTCATCCAAACTTCACAGGAATGTTCCTTTGGTGGTCACCTTTAAAAATTGTTCAAAGAATTTAATTCCATGCAGAACTCTGGTTGCCATGGCAACCGAAAGAAAAAACTTTAAATATCTTCTTTAAAAAACCATAAGAGCTAGAGCTTAGATTTTTGGCATGAAACATCTTCTAGTGAGTGTCTACCAAGTATGTTCAAATAAAAGCCCTGGGTTCAAAATTGGCCCCGCCCCGGGGGGTCATTGATTTTCCCTAAATGCATATAGTAAAAACTTAAAAAATCTTCTTTTAAAGAACCATAAGAGCTAGAGCTTAGATTTTTGGCATGAAACATCTTCTAGTGAGTGTCTACCAAGTTTGATCAAATAAAAGCCCTGGGGTCAAAATTGGCCCCGCCCCGGGGGGTCATTGATTTTCCCTATATGCATATAGTAAAAACTTAAAAAATCTTCTCTTAAAGAACTCAAAGAGCTATGGCTAAGATATTGAGCATCAAACATGTTCTAATAGGTGTCTACCAAGTTTGTTCAAATAAAAGCCCTGGGGTCAAAATTGGCCCCGCCCCAGGGGGTCATAGATTTTCCCTATATGCATATAGTAAAAACTTAAAAAATCTTCTTTTAAAGAACCAAAAGAGTTAGAGCTAAGATATTTAGCATGAAACATGTTCTAATAAGTGTCTACCAAGTTTGTTCAAATAAAAGCCCTGGGGTCAAAATTGGCCCCGCCCCGGGGGGTCATTGATTTTCCCTATATGCATATTGTAAAAACTTAAAAAATCTTCTTTTAAAGAACTCAAAGAGCTATGGCTAAGATATTTAGCATCAAACATGTTCTAATAGGTGTCTACCAAGTTTGTTCAAATAAAAGCCCTGGGGTCAAAATTGGCACCGCCCCGGGGGTCATTGATTTTCCTTATATGTGTATAGCAAAAACTTAAAAAATCTTCTTTGAAAAAACCCAAATAGCTAGAGTTAAGATATTAAGCATGAAACATCTTTTAGTGAGTGTCTACAAAGTTTGTTCAAATAAAAGACCTGGGGTCAAAATTGGCCCGGCCCCGGGGGTCATTGATTTTCTTTATATGTGTATAGCAAAGACTTAAAATCTTCTTTGAACAAACCCGAATAGCTAGAGTTTAGATATTAAGCATGAAACATCTTCTATTAAGTGTCTACAAAGTTTGTTCAAATAAAAGCCCTGGGGTCAAAACTGGCCCGGCCCCAGGGGTGTCATTGTTTTTAACTATATGTGTATAGTAAAAACTTAAAAAAAATCTTCTTTTAAAAAGCCCAATTAGCTAGAGCTTAGATGTTTAGCATGAAACATCTTCTTATGGGTGTCTACCAAGTTTGTGCAAATAAAAGCCCTTGGGTTAAATTGGCCCTGCAATGTTGGGGGGGGGGGGCTATATACAGGTGAGCAACCTCAGGGCCATCATGGCCCTCTTGTTTTTTTATTATTATCAAATTCAAAAATGTAAGTGCAATTAAATGCAATTGTATTACTTTAGGAAGGTAAAGGATGAGGAGAGTCAGGGTGGGGTTGAGAGAACTGTAAATGATGATGAAGGTATCAGTCTACTTGGAGAACCTGGAAATCAGTCTGCTCTGGATGGTTCCCTGGATACAACTGCTGCTGGTTCCTCTAAAAACAACAAAGATGGGTCTAGTAAAACTAACCAAATAAGATTATGCAATGGAGAAATCTTCTTTGTTATTGAGGTAAAGGATGTAAATAAAGATATTCAAAACATATTTACAGAGATATGAAAGAGGACTTTTGCATCTGTCCTTAGTTAATATTTTATTTTTCGTTTCTGGAGAGTATGCATTGTATGCATTATATGGGGTATATTGTTTCATTAGAATGTATAAAGGTAAAAATAGTACTTCTGTAATGTTCTGATAATGGTAAATGCAGAATATACAGCCAAATACTGGTATATGAATTTATAAATATTTATGTTTAAAGTTGAAGAAAAGAATCCAGAATTATGTTGACACAACACCATATACACCACATATTTTTCGTTGGATTTGTAAATGAATTTACACATGGCAAGGACAGTACCTAGCCTTAATCATATGAACAGATTCAATCAGACCAAGCTTACAACATTTGCACTTTTGTGATTTTAACTACTTCTGTGCTCTCAATGGAAATGCATATTCTTTTTCTAGATTGAAATTCGAGGTAGTTCATAAATAGCATAAGGTTTAATAGTTCCTTTATATATAACATAGTATATGAAAACATTTTAGGAGCTTGAAACCAATGATGATACTGGAAAAATGCGAACTTTTCTACAGTTGTCTGACAAGGACCCTGAGCAAGAGTTTGTATTTTGGGTAGATAAAAAGCAGATGAAGAAAGCTTGTAAGGTACAGCATGCCTGGGCTAGAACCATCCATACATTTCAGGTATATTTTACAGGAAACATTGGGAGATATGCACTGAACTGGTTATTGAATAATTGCAGGAATGAAATCTTAATACTGAACCTTAATGTAAGGTTAATGATACTTTTTACTATTTTATTGGTCAAAGTGCTTCATTTGTACAGAGTCAGAGCCTTGGGTTAGCTCAGTAAGGCTCTATAGTAATGTACTTTGGAGAAGAAACAATATGTCATTTTAAGAAATTAGTCTAAACAGTGATATGTAAGTTGCCCGTTACAAGATGAATTTATAGCATTGTAAATGGTTTATATTTTACAGGGTTCTGAGACAGACAATGTGGTGTATATAGTTGGTAATGCAAGCTGGAGACAGAACTGGCAGCATGTATATACAGCTGTAACAAGGGGACGTAAATCTGTTTGTATTGTTGGTAGAGAGGATATATTGAGGAACGCAATTAAACGGTCCGAGATTAAACGTCAAACTAGTCTCAGGAAACAACTGTTGGACTTGTTACAGGTATTTATGTTTTAATGTTGCAATTGAAGTACAAAATGGCTTTTAAAAATGAGACATATATATAAATGCACATATATTTGCTTGTCCTTTCATTAATTTGTCACTATATTTGTTTGCTTTATTTGACCCACGTTTTGACATTTATCTTTTTAGTACTTGTTAAACTTTTACAGCTTTGATTATTCATGGCTTCATGAATGTAGCTAGCCAGTGTGATGATAGTTTAAATATGCAAACCTGTTAGTACATTTTTAAAAAGTAGATAACTCATTCTTAGACTGCTTGTAAAATATAGTCACAAATCATTTCTTGAATTCATTCTAAAGTGTTTGCAACAGTAACAACATGTGTTTATAAATTTCAGAAAAGCAAAGATTTTAACACAACGGAAGCTATGCAAACATCATGTATGAATATCACAACATTACATCAACCCTCCACACAGACAGGTGCCATAAAGATAAACAACTTGTTTAATAGGAAAACACAATCATATATTAACTGTCAACAACCAGTGAAAACTGAGATAGCAAGTGAATCAGGGGAAACAACATTAAACAACACACAGATGGTTACCGGTATATTTTGTATTTACCAAATTCTTTACAAATATTTTGTTACTGAATTTATGAAGAAAAAACAAAAAAGCTTAGATACTCGATAACCAAACACTTTTTTTTAAAGTTTTAACATTGCATATACTTTGTGTAAAACTATATTGTTCATGTTGTATTTAGTTTGTGACAAACAGTTACAAACAGAAAATTCTATTTAATTGCTGACTCAATGTAATAAAGTTTGCCTTTTTTTACCAAAACTGTCAAATAAGCTAGAATTATTTTTTAATCGTATTCACTATTCTGAAATTTTATATCTTTTATTCTGCTTACTTTTGATGTTAATGTAATTATATTTGTAGATATTTTGAGCTCCCTGGCATGTGAACACGATGGTATGAAAGAAAACAGTGACATTGATGAATTTGATTCAGATGACTCTGACAGCCTTTTTACCCAAATCAAACCTAGTGCAAATAAAGTTCATTCAAAATCTGCTGATGTAAAAAACAGATTAGGTGCTAGAAATACTAGACTAGATGTACAAACAGAAAATAACCATGGGTTTATGTCTGGGCAATTGTTTGGGGCAAAAAATGAACAGAAAGTGAATTTATGTGATAAAAATGTAGACAATTTTCAACATTCCAGCACAGACAACTGTGATAGTTCTGCTGTGAAAAGAAATGATAATATAGGACTAGAAGCTAGAGAATCAGAGGTTGGAGAGGGGATGGAGAGTCAATCTGGACCAGAATCAGACGACTCTCAGAGTTTGATATCCCCACCTACAACACGTGCTCGATCACGTGCCAAGGCAGCTCAAGCAAAAAATCAGAAATGTGGTGATGTAAATAATGCTCCAGATTGTGTTCAAAGTAGGATGAAATCAGATGTAAATAACTCTAATCAGAATAAAAATACTCAGGTAAAAGGAAGAAAGAACTCCAAGTTGAGTTTAAATAAAGGCAAAATGCCTTTATCATTTTTGGGGAGTCAGAGTGATAAAACACCTTTGAACGTTTCTAGGAATAGGAAATATAAGTATACTATACAGGAGATATCCTCACCCATCACTCCTCTTTTAAATAGAAACAATTTCAGTCCAAACCTAGGAAATGCACAGAGCACAAGCTCGCCATTAAATAATGTGTCTTCAGACTATCATAGCCATATAAGGTCAGGTTTGTCACCTTTGACCCCAGGTTACAACGAGTCATTCTCAGGAAATAAATCTTTGATGTCAGATTCTAGTATTTTACATTCAGATGTTAAGAAAAGTGTAGCATCATTAAATTCTAGTGTTCAACAGGCCATTGGTAGAAGACTGAGTGAGTTAGATCCAATAAAAGAACCAAAAAGTAACGAGTCTGTGCAGTCACAATGGTCCGAAATAGATGAAAGTGATTACATGAAACTCGCTGATGAATCTAATATATTTAAAGCTGGAAACATTTCATGTGTAAATGACTCAAGGGAAGTGGCCAAACCTGGTGCTATAAGGAATACAAGTTTATCGTCAGTGAAACAGGTGCATGGGCTTTCTTCTGTTCGTAAACATTTAAATTCTCCTAATTCTACTAATATCTCCTCAAGCAGTCACTGGTCTGAAGTTGATGAAGAACAGTATATGACCCTGGACCTTGAAGATATAAATAGAATGACATTTAGTACTCAAGACAAGATATTTGAACATAATGATGAAGAATGTAATGTTGCTGATAAAACAAGGGATACATCTTGTGTCATTATGGATAACATGGACAGAAATACTGAGCAAAGAACGCAACCTTCAGATGAAAATGATTACCGGGAAAGTCCAGATCTTTTTGAACCGGAATCCCCATCAAGTCCCTCTCTTCTTGAAACCCCACCAAGAAAAGCAAGTAGAAAACGAGGCCTTGATACATGTGCTAGTGATAATACAGAAGTTTCACCTTTGAAACGATCATTGTCAAAACTGAAATTCTGAAGTTCTGTGTTCATTAGTTTAAAAACTATACAAACATGACCTGAGCAATAATCAATTTTGTTATAGATCAATTTTGTGTTGTATTTAAGATAAAATATATACTAAAAAAAGACTTATGTTAATATATTTTTAAAGTTTATAGAAGCTATTTGTTTTTTTTTAGGCATCACCCTAAATGTCTGATTAAATTTTGTCGCAGAATTGAGAATATGTACACCGTATTGGTGTATTTCCTTTATATTATCATTCCGATGGTGATTTTTGAGGCTTTTCCTTAAAACATTTGTAGTCTCAAATCATTTGAAACAGTTATTTCAGCCAATATATAAATTGTTAGTCACATTTCTCTGATATTTCCATATAGAAAATCATCATGTTTTATGCAAATAATTTCAGCTGATCTCATAAATCTAAATATTTACAATACATTCAATCTAATAGTTCCTTAACTCTTTAATTTGATGTACATCACATTCAAAATGAATTTGTATGATGCAAATTTTAGAAAAGTATGAGAAAGTTCTTCTCCATCAACATTGTAAAAGCTAGGATGAAATTAAAAGGAGTTTTGAATAGCTTGAGAAAGTTAACAAGTTTATTACCTAGGCTGTTTCAGTGATTGCCTTAAATGATTCAGGTACCAGCTTAATTTTCTTATATGAGATAGGATTAAAATATCAAAAACCAACACAATTTATCAATTGAGATAAGAATATTGAACATACTTCCATTCAACTGATCTCGAGTATGTGTTATATTAATAAGTCTCAATTTTAATTTGAGTTACCTCCCTTTGACAGTACTGCTTATATAGCCAGTAGTGTTTGTCAAAGTATAAATACTTCTTTGACATTGAAACATTTTGTTGTTCTGCATAATGATATGCATTGTACCTTTCCTTGGACATATTGTTGTATTCAAAACATCTTGATAAATTACTTGAAAACGTCTGTGGGTCCAATTAAGTGTATATACATGTAATTACTTATTTGATGGATGGAATTAGACGATTTAGCTGGACTTGCCTGTAAAGCGTAGGTTAGTTTAATTCACATAACACACCTACACCCAACTTGTTACCTCTCTTTTTTTAAAAATATTTTTTCAGTATTGTGCAACATTTCTTCTCAAGAATTACCATTGTCTGCTGATAGCTGTGTCTTTATGTTGTGGCAAGTCTTTCTAAAGTAGTGTGGCATTTCAACAGTTAAGCCTTTTCTTGTTCACCTGAGCACCTATGTGCTTTTGCCATTACCGTGTCTGTTGTATATCAAACATAACACTGGTTTAATTGCAACCAAACTTTACAGGAACAATCCTTTAGTAGTCCCATTTCAAAGTTGTTCAAAAGCTTAAATCTCCAATATTCAGATAGCCATGCATGGTCACCAATGATGGCAACCAATATGAAAAACTTTTTAAGTGTTGATAATTTGGTGTGCAGCATTGTCAAGTTGACCACTACCAATCTGATTATAAAGCAGTCTGGGGGTTATACATTTTCCTTATATAATAGATGAGCTCAGATATTTGGTATAAAACAAGTCTAGTAACTGTTAATCTTTTCAAATAAAATTAATAAATCTCTGCTACATGTATGTGGCATAAAACCTGTGCAAGCAAAATCCTTTGCTGTCCATTAAAATCATTACACATTGTCAAGCTAGAGTGTACAACTCTTGATACTATCTGCATTAGGACTCCACAGATTGATCAGCTTCATTGAAATTGGGGTTCTAGGTAACCAGAAATACAGTAGACTTTTTAATTTTACAGACTAAAGAACTGCCAATATAACTGAAATACTGTTGTACATAGCTGATTTTATAAGTCTTGCATTTTAATTTCCCCTTTATGATAAGTAGGAAGACATTGAGAAATGCCAGCCATGTCTTGTCAACCATCTATTGCTTACTAGGTCGAGTTGATTAAACTTAAACTTATTTCAGACTCTTGATATGGGCAATGAATTTTTGAAGTTTGATAATGTAGTTGACTTACATAAGAAGAATTAACAAGTGTTAAAATAACCACAAGAAAATTTTGACGTGTTAAGGCTAATGTGAAATTTCATTGCAAGAACACAATATTGCTACTGAAATTCTTGCAGTAAATCAATTGAAAAATAGTTTCAACATTAATATTAACATTACAGTAAAAACTCTGAAAACCGGAATCCTCTGAAAACCGGACCATTTTAAAAGTCCCGTATTTTCTCCCTATATGTTTAATGCAAAAAAACCTCTGAGTACTTCAACATTAATATTACTTCCAAGTTATTCACAAAAGGAGTCGCTCAAAATCAAAATAGCCGAAGTCCTGAACTTCAAATCTCTTGCTCCTCACTATTGCAAGTCCCGTCAGGATCTGTACGGAGTCTTTCTAGCTAGCTTACAGTTCATGTTATGTGTTCAATGCAAACAAAGTAGTATTTTGTAACATCACTGTAACTGTACAGAGAGCAACAGAAGCGAAATATGATATGGGTAATTGAGCAAGAACTTTTTGGAAATTATAACAGGACACTGAATATGGAAAGCCTTTAAGCAACGAAGCATTTCTGGGGCATAATGGGCGTTTCAATAAACTTTAGAAGTTATATCATCTGCAGCAGACTATAATGAATAATATAAAACTGTTATAAAAGGTGGTATAACTTCAGTATTGTAACTGCAGCTATAGATAGACTACAACTCATCCATGTTGTTCATAATTTATTTACACATTTTCAATGTCTGACATAATGTTATAAAGCTATCTGCACATGAGAACAATAGAAGGAAAAATGACCCAGTTATACCCAACATTTAACATTAATTCCTCGTCGGCAATTATCCAATATTATTTCAATGTTAAATAACTTTTTAAAGCGTTGAAAGACATAAAACCACCTAGAATTACTCTTCTTCACATCAAACAAGTTCTTCCAGAGGGAAAAAACACTGTAGCAGAATAATTGTTATAACACAATATTGGTCTTAAACTTTGCTACCTTTCAGCTATTAAATATAGTGACATGTCAGTTAGTTTAAAGCCCTTAAGAAACAAAAATACAATAGAATACTATTTTTTAAACTCTTACAAAATAAACAAAAATAATCTACAGCACTAGTTGAAATTGCGTATAAAATGTAAGTTATATTAAGGTTGATCACATAATACCGACATAGTTATACATGTACCAAGTTCTTCTGCTTTACACTGTTAAATGAAAACAATAAATTATTCAACTTCAGAACAAAGTAAATTTCAGTTTTCAAACTTAGTATAACAAGAAGCATCATGTGAATATGTTTTAATCATGCAGTAAATAAATAGTTCCTGGAATGTGCATCTTCACAGTCAGAGTGCTAGGTATCCTAGAATAAGCTGAATTCATCTGCTAGAACAATAAAGCACCAGGGTCATATAGGAAAGACAAAAATATACAAATTCAGAAAAGTAGGTATCTGTTAAAAAGTCTGCTTGTTTTCACCACAAAAAAGTTTAAGCCTTATTTTATAAATGTCTATTATAGCTCTAAATATCCAACTAAAGCAACCATGATATTTTATAGACAAAAGCACCTGTCTATTAATTAAATCACCAACTAATTAAACCAACTATATTACCCAAGGTTACAGCTCCAACAACTTGTGCAAAAAATGCAAGAGTATTTGATGTAATATTTTCTTTTTAATGTATCCAGCTGTACATGTATTTGTTTTATATAAAAACATCTAATTTTCCAAATTTTAAATCAAGGTTTTAAAGAAAACAAGACTTTTTTTCCTTTTTAAAAATGTAGACTGAATTTAAATATAAATAAAATATCTGTTTCATTATTTCATGCAAACTTTCTGCCCTGTCCTGTTTTACTATTTGATTTCCCCATGTAGGTCAGACATTTTTTTCTTCCATAGTGTACAAAAATAAAACAATATCATAAAGACTTATATCCACGTATACAACATATTGGTAACAAACAAAAACAAGAAATTTAACATCATATTATAATAGGCAGTTTTTCTGACAAATGCAAAAAACTTGTGAATCAACACATAAGTATGAATATTTATGAGGAGCTAATTAATATTAATGAGGTGTTCATTTACATGCATGATAAATGAAAATTTAGCAAGTGATAAGTAATCAATGAACAAAATGATTGTGAATAGTTGTCTGTATAGATCTCATCAAATCATAATGATAAGAGAAAAATGTTAAACATCTATATTTGACATCAAGAAAACAACTGTGATATAATATACACATTTATATATACAAGATTCCATGTACATTTCTTTTTTCAAATAATGAGATACAAAGAGGGCTCATGTTTAACATGGCCAAGAGAATGAAATGTGTCAATATTTAACAAGATCTAGAAAATGAAAGAAAAAACATCTACAGATCAAAACATGATCACAATTTATTTTCCTCTACAAACACATTTTGAGCTCATTATTTCCTTTATGGGAGTTGTAACAATGACAAAATCTTGGGCCAGGCTTTTGTCATGTTAACAGTTAATTCAACTTCCTTTCAGATTCAAGGGATAAGACCAGCTTTTTTAAATTTCTCAGTCATTTGCTTTCTCCTTTATCTCCGCTTACGACACGTGCTCAATTTCTGTTTTGAGTAATAACTCTATATTTGTAACACATCTACACAAAGAGTTGATGTTATGATAACTGGGAACACTGAAACAATACATCTGACAGTATTGATGCTACATTATGGTCCAGAATCTGTGACATTACCAAAGATAATATTCTACTTTGATGATGAACAAACAGTTTACGATTTTCTGGCACCTTAGCTAAATGCAAGAGCACCGTTGCTGCTCGCCGTAACATATCAAGACTAGTTCCCATCATTTCTGGGTTATCACGAAGCATCTGTACGGTATGCATGTTAGCTACCTGGACAGCTTTCTGTTCCGCAGTCTCTATAAAGTCTATCAAGAGAGATATGCTTGGGTGTTGAAGTGCCACTCCACGTGCAGCACTGCTGCCACCTTTGACCAGCTCCGACAACAACACTACTGAAAACTCGACCGTCACTTGCTCACTTTTATTTGCGAGAAGTTTTGTCAGCACACTAAATAATTGCACAATCCTTTCATAAGGAGGACTAGCTAGTAGCATGTCCACATTTTTATCATGGATACACAGTTTACACAGAGCTTCAAGCACAAGTCTGAGAGGTGACAGGACGGATGATGGACCCACAGTTGGGAGAGGATCTGACGCACATGATGATGGACAAACAACCCAATGTAACAAGCCGTCCAATATTGGAACGCAAATCTCATCTGGGAATATGTCTAATCTTAACTGAGCACAAATGTTGGCAAAGATCACAAGTGTGTTTTCTCGGAGAACGTTCAAACAATCCCACCACCATTCCTCTACGCCCTGAGATGTATCAACCATATCGTCATCAATATCATCACGATCAAATTTGCGTCGCACCCGAGATCGAGGTAGATGTTTGTGGTGCAGCAGTAGCAACTTGCCGAGAATGTACAAAAGTCCTGTATGTCGTGACAATTCAATGTCATTTCCAGGTAGATATGACAAGCTGCGGAAAATATTAGAAACACAGACACATCTTCGACCTATCTCCTGCTGCGCCTCACTTGTAAGGCACAGTGGCGGCTCATTTCGTTGGTATGACTCGTCCTCCATATTATTCCTCTCCCCTTCTGTGTTTAATCCAAACTGCGTTTTACAAATCTGAACAAGTTCATTACTATCTAAAAGTTCATACTTTACAGCTAATTTCATTCTGGGTTCATCTCTGAAAAATGATTTAGTTCCAAGCTTTTCCTCGCTTATATCACTACCAGAGTCATTCTGTTCAGGTAAAGTATCCCTAGGTTCAGCTTTTATTGTCACTCCCTTCATAAATTTGTTACATGTATGATCCTTTTCACAGGAGAACTTATCACTACCAAAGTCGGTATTATTGGAACTAGTTTCACACTTCTCGTTATCAGAATTTTCAGGATTTGACTGGTTTTCTGACTCAGAATCTTTCTCTTTCACAGACCCTGGATTATTATCGTCTGTATCCATTGACTCGATTTTGATTGCACCATCCTTTTCTATTTCCTCTGGATTTTCTGTATTTTCTTTCAAATCAGGATTTTTTAATTCCATTGGTTTACGGAAAAACCTTTTACAGCATCTTTTCAGTTCATTCATATCCTCAAAATGTGTACATATGTGCTCAGTTAAGTCACCTTTCCCAACTTCCCAGAGATCTGATTGATCACCAAATTCACCATATACATCCCAGAACTTTTCATCTAATAAACCATTTGGATGAGCATTTTCTTCTAGTTTCACCTCTTTACCTTGCCTTGTAATATGTGTAAAATTTGGTCTAGCCTTCCATTCCTTGTATGTTTCTAATTCATTATTCTTTTCTTCATTTTCACTTTCCTTTTCCTCACTTTTCTTATCATCATTTTTCTTTTCATTTGTCTTTTCAGGTGTTTTATCTGATATTTCACTATTTGTGATATCTGCATTTTCTATTTTCACTAATGATTTATTTACACGTTTAAGTTCAAGATCAGCGGAATCTTCGTCCCCTTCCAGGGCCGACTGTATGATAGCCATGCGAACCAGATTTTGTTTAAAATCTTCATGTCCGGATCCAATTTGAGAATCTTCAAACAGATCAAACATTTCAATGAGGCAGCGACGGAAATGGTCAAGAAGGACTTCTAGCAAACCTGGCAAATGAGCAAGGCCAAAGTAGGCCACAGTGGAATCATCAAACAAGAGGATATTTAGAGTATCCAAAGCCCAAGTGCTTTCAGCCATCAAGCCAGATTTCAATGCCATCATAATTCTCCAGGCTTCAATTTGCCCTGAAAATATACAACATAGAATTAACTTAAGATGTCCATAAACTATGAAGCAATTTAATGAAAGGAGAAATGCGGATAAAGTCAAATAAACATAATTCATAAATGAAGTACAACATGTGACAGATACAAGAAACCAAGGTTTATCTTTTTTAATTCTTATAACCTTAGACTCACAGCAAGGTAGGATACTTATTTTATAATTAGACTTATTTTACAAGAAAATACTTCAGTTGGTGGCAAATTTCTTAATCAATGAACTTACAATTTAATTTAACTTTACAGATAAAATGCTGCTTTATTCAAACAGAAATCATTTTAAGATTATGTTAACAAACCAAAATCACTGTTTGAAAAACAGCAAAGATGTAAATTTGTAGTTTAAAAGCTTACAATACATACAAAATGACAGGATTTTACATTTAAAAAAAAAAGAGGAAATGAAATAGGTGCAAGGACATTAGAAATCTGATATCATCTCCTTCATGCAAATAAACTGAACAAACTAAAATCAAAATAATCTATTCCCAAAACAAAACTCCTAAATCTGTGATATTTAGAGATGTTTTAAACAGAACACATGCACATTTAAGTGAAAACTTTAACAGCACTTTGTAAAGTAACAAAATGACCTTATTTAGTATAGAATTTTTTTGGCAAGGATATCAAAACAAGGTAAAATTTAATCAAACTCATTTACTTATCATTAAGACAATATTCATAACGAAGGCAAAGAGATCGAAAGAGCATATCCAAACCCATGGTGTTAGCTTTAGTTTTGTTAATTACTTAAGCCTTTGGTCAAGTGATAACATTCAAATATGTTTGAATCATTCTCTTTATGATGTCATTTAGCATCTATAAATAAGAATCAAGAATTTTTTTAAAGTATCATGAAACATACACCACTTGACAAAAGCTTAAGTCAGCGAGTGGAGAGTGATTATATATGTTTATATTATGGAATGAAGTGCCAGGAAACATCCAAGGTCAAGGTCACCTGTGCTAAAACTCCCACGATTCCTTCTACTTCCTGTATAGACTGGTTTGTAACCCTGAGGTCCTGGTGTTGTGAGAAATAAGCACAAGTTGTAAGAATAGCACACAAAACACAAATTAACACAAATTTCTACAGAAATGTTATTAAAGTATACATGGTTTTGTTTCCTTTGTAATTGTTTTGCACAAGACTTGAGGTATGAGTAAAACATATACAGACAAAAAATCTAAAAGAAATGGTTAGACAACTAAAATAACTGGCATACATGGTTTTCAATAAATATGATATCATTGAAAAGCCTGAATTTCTTTAACAACAATATAGCAAGACAAGTTAAAAGCCTAACTACATACGACATATAATACCTTAAAGTATACTTGCTTCATCAAAAATCCCCATGTACAAGGCTTCAGATGCTTTAATGTACACAAAGATTACATCAATTCTATATTAATGACAATTCATTCTGTTGTCGCCTATTTTTCTAAAAGTAGCATTTATTTTACGAGACCCATAAACTTGTTTACTGGTATTTATAATTAATAAATATTCATTATGAATTTCTTACATAGCCCCGATAAGGCACAAAAATGTCATCATTTCCCTCAACCATCTGGGAAAGAAACGAATTAAAAGCAAGTACACTTTAGGTACAAAATCTGAACACAGAAGACAAAAAAAATATTGGGAAATGGCCTAACCCACCACATTTGTACAACGTTTAGATAAAAAAAATTTTGGTTAATTTAAATCTACAGCTATAGGATTTTCTAGATCATGCCTTTCTAAGCAATTTAGACTAAGTGTGATCCTATGTCACATAATGTGTAGTGTGTAATTACACTATGTTGTAAATTATGCTTGATGTGTTAACTTGCCAAAGAGCATTAAAAATTTTGGTCCTAATCTAAAACGAGAACATCTAAGCTGTGTAAGGTGTTATGATGTATTTTACGTTGACGTGACATATGACAAAACTCTACACAAAGACAAATGGACCATACATTCAAAAAATATGTATATAAAATTCTTTGTGGCAATCTTTTCAAATATTTGTTCACAGCGCCTAATAACAAAAAAGTAAGATTTAAAAAATGCCAAAATGAATCTAAAAGATGAATTTTTTTTTCAAATAATTGTTCACAGCATATCATTACTTTTGATAAAAAAAAAATGCCAAAAGATGATTTTTTTTTTTGTTAACACTGTCACACATAATTTGCAGTAAATGGACTTGTTAGTATAGAATGATACTGTGTTTCTTGTACCAGATGAGCAAAGGAAAAAGATAGACAGCTACATAAGTGATACACACAATCAGCAAATTTGATGAGGTTACATAAAATGATCACAAAAAACCACACACACACATGGTGCAAAAATAAAAACAGCACAAAATGTCCCCATTTTATTTTAAGTTCAATAATCGGAAAAAAACAACTTGTAACTAAAGTTACCATCACCAGTATGCAAGTATTTCCCCTCAATGACTGGGACAGCTCAATGTGTTTTTATCATTTAACTAGAACTACATCATTTTAACTTAAAACAAAATTTTACTATATCACTGTTCAGCTTCTATGCTCTACATAAGTAAATTTGGATTTTACTAAAACATCTAGTCATGCCAAAATGATACTTCCAAAACGGGAAGTACTTTCTACAAATTTAGACATTTTCAACATGCTGTGCAAAATTACGAACATATTACAACATTTCACAAAAAGTAAAAATTTCCACAATTTGCTCCGAAATAGTCCTATTCAATATAAAACCTGGTGAAGGTAATATTTTCCATTGTCATAAAAACATGATGTAAACATGACACAACAAGAGATCAGGTAGTGAGGAAACTTACCAACATCATGTTTCGTTAACTTTCTTCTCTTGCTAAGGTGAGGTTGTGTTGATTCTACGGTATCCATAGGAAAATGCATGTCTTTTTTATAAGGACCATGCATTCCACCAGATGGCATCATTTTCTATAACAAACAAAATAATCATTCAGAAATGTTTTTAAAAAAATTAGTTCCTGTTGCTTTCTCTTTATGAGCAAGTATGAAATCTGATTTTTGCCTAAAATGACTTTAATCAGCTAATATGTTCCTTTGACAAAATTTCACTTTTAAATAATAAGTAACAAGTCCTCAAGATGTTAAATTAGTTACAAGAAGGCCTTGCAGAGTGCTTTCCTTATTTAATATTATTTTCAGATCTCTCTACAGATTTATTACTTAAAATTACTTTCAAATTTACCTGTTTATTTGGAGACATGTAGTCCCTATTTCTGGTGGGTGACATTCTGACTCTAGGTAGGTGACTCATGTTTGGTGGACCACTGGGGCTCATCCCAGGAGTCTGACCTGGACCATACGGTGGCATGCCATGGTAGCTTCTCTGCTGCGGCATAGGTGACCACTGAGCCTGGTCTCTGCGATCTGAAGAAAGAGAAGCAACATTTTAACATGTGGTCCTTTTAGGGATTTGTGTTAATGTAATACTATTAGAATATATATGTATACAGTGAGCTACATAGAGGAAGTGATACCTGCAAAGAAATGTTTAGAGCAAAATGTGGACAAGATAAATGACCTGTTCTTTTGTAACTAAGTGCCAAAGTTTCACTAATAACTCTACCCAGCAATATAAGGATGTAGCTTTTTTTTTTTTAAATATTGCATATCCATCACAATTTTAATGGTCATATAAATTGAAATATATGTATATTTCATAGATTGTTTTCATTTCTTTATGCAATGCAGAGCAATAGTACAGTAAACAATTGATGAAATCTACTTCTACAACAACATGACAGAATTATAAAACTGTTTACTTACTTAAAAAAAGTGAAATACGAGATAAGACATATCAATGGGCATGAAGTAAACAAAAGAACAACTAAAGTAAAGAATGATCCAGTTATAAGATTCTCCTACTAGTTAATATAATAAAAGTATTACAAGTAACAAATCTCAAATCTAAACATCACTGTATTAGACAGGTAGAACAGCTTTTGTCTTTTTAGCACAAAAAATGTTAGAAAATGAAACCTAAAACTAAGTACTACTTTTTCTCCTTTAATACTTTGTTTTTCTGGCATAATTTTGCTACATAACAATAATGGGTACATGCAGACTCTTGAAAAAAAAAGAAGAAAAAAAGTTACTATTTGCTTATGAAAATTTTGTAAAAGCTATAGTATAAAAACTATTAAATGAGAGTTTTAAATATGGGCAAAGACTATCACTTCATATAAGGAACATGCTAAACACTGCTTAAACAATTGTTATATATTTGTATGCCATTAATGTTGTGTTATAACAGACTGATTTCCTTGTTGGTGCCCTTTGTATTAGTGATGATGATGATAAACCTATGAAATCATACACAGACAGGCCAGTCTGCTTAACCTGGCAGTCCGACAAAATATACAGACTTGGCCACTCAATTGTATTATTAATATTTTGATTTTGAAATCTTTTATATAAACAACAGACAATTTCGACTTCAAAGACAGGCAAGTCTGTAAGAAAAGGTTATGGATCTTCTTCAAGTGAAGCATGTTAAAATCGAAAAGCAAAGAAATAAGAAATCACTAAGATCTACGGTATATAAATCCATATCAAATACATGTATTATTTTTTTTAATTCAGAAAGTAAAGTATACATATATATATCAATCTACAAGGGGTGGAAATATGGCTATATATAAAATGAAAGATTCACTGCAAATAGGAAAACCGCACTCAGCTAGCCAGGTAATACTATGGAGAAACATTCAAATCCTAATAACATCATCAAACCATGCCTTCTTACAATTATGTTTCTTTTTTAATTAAAAATAATTGCTCCAACCTAACTGGACATATTTTAGAATAAAAATTACTTCCCTTGATTTGTTGTTTCCTTTTTTTGCTATAAAATATACTGAGGAAACGTTATAATCTGTAAAACTTTCGAGCAATTGTAATTTGTAAATGAAATGGAATAATGAAGACATTGTTTATCTTGCAATATCTTTGTTAGGAGAATGTGAATGTTCTCTATATAGGCATACCAGGTGTCATTGACGAATCACTATAATCATTATACGATGGTGCCGACTGATATTGGGATGTGTTAGGGTCACCGTAGTTCATCGAGGATGAACCTCCATACGGCTGGGAGCAATAAGCTGTCAAATAGAAAACCAACCATACATTAAAATGTGTTTTCTTTCCCTTCAGTTTTTGTAAAATTGTATGAATACCATTCCTATAACATTGAACACTTATCTTGTGTCTTTTATGTTTTCTATACAACTTATGTTAATAATAACCAGTCAACTTATATCTTACATACAGCCAATGCAAATGTCCCAAAATATGCTTTTATCTTTAATCAACAGATAAAAATAATATACTTAATTTGCTTTCTTTTGAAAGTCCCTTTTTTCTTTTTAAATATTCCCTTTTCTTTAATGAAATATACTAGAGATAGACAAATACTAGTATATGTTTTTGTATCATGAAGATATTCAGATTAGTCCTTTGTAACAATAAATGTGTAATTTCTAGACGACTACAAAATTGCTAATAAATGACTGCATATTTGAATTTCCCTATTTCCACCCGTGTTGGTGAGTACTAAAAAAGACATATGTGAGAATAAATATTGTTATTCTCTGTAATACAGAGTTTGAATTCATTAATTTTGCAAACAGTAAAAAATATTTCATTAAACCTAACACATGACCTAATTCTATTAAACCATCATGTAAGAATCTTATCAGATAAGGTTCTGTGAGGTGTTTAACACTTCCTCTTTAACAAATGCCCTTAAAACAGTTCCAGGTGTGTATATCGGACAAAACATGCCAGAACAAGACAAAACACAATGCACACAGCAAATATATATATACATGTAATGTATACCACTATATTTTTAATGCCTATGTTTAGTTCATGAACCTACATATATTTACTTGTACAAGATCATTGACCCTTTTTACTTAAATATTTTGTTGACTAAAATTTCCAAGATTTCCTATAAAAATGTGAAAACTTTTGAGGAAAAATGGAGTTTGATGATCAAGATTTAATATGTATTGCAAATAAAACTTTCAAAAAATGTTACTTTACACAAGTCCGATAATACTTAACATTTACATTAAAATGATCGATGTCAAATTATGAAATTAACAAAAATATAAACATATAAAACATTCAGACTGTGAAATTAGTAAACATATGTTTGTGAATCACAAATATGTGACTATTAGTTACAGAATAGGGTGACCAAGAATTATTTACATAAAATTCTTTCCTTTCACCTATGTGAGCCATAGTATTACTTTAATTAGTTTTATCATGAGAGAAAATACAAGAGCTGTCTGTAGGACAGCACGCTCGACTATTCTAAGTGCTTGATAGTAAAAGAGCCTTGATATTGTTAAATTTTTTAAGTTCACAAAAGGGCTAATTTTTTTTTATAAATTCATGTTATAGGCCTTAGAGAGAGTCTAATTATACAGAATTGGCTTGACTATTAGGAAGGTAATGTCACAAGGGTTTTTTATTGAGTATAATAATACTTATTACCTATGAATACATAAATTTGACAGAAAAGGTACAAAGGCTTGTTATTAAGATGTTTTAAGTTGAAAAAGGGGAGAAAAGTCAGCCTAAATGCAAGATAGAATTATGGATCTTTGTCAGTGACCTACAATTATGACCCTAAATGCATATGTGAAGTTTTAAATAAATATCTTTAATAGTTATTGAGATATTTAAAACTTGCATGTAAACATTAACCAAGAAACTAAGTAGAAAAGGGGATATGAATCAGCCTTAATGCAAGATAGAGTTATGGAACTTGGTCAGTGACATACAATTATGACCCTCCAATTATGACCCTAAGTGCATGTGTAAAGTTTCAAGTAAATATCTTTGAAGACCGTTAACCTTTAACCAAAATTTCTAAGTTTCAAAGGGGCAAATAATTCTGCAAATATTGCAGACAGAGTTATGCAATTTTGCAAACTGATGTACATTGTTACTATAAATAAGTATTTTAAATTTCAATTGATTATCTCAAGCAATAATTGAGATATTTGACTTTACAAAAAACTTAAACCAAAATTTCTAAGTTCCAAAGGGGCATAATTCTGTCAATATGGTAGGCAGAGTTATCCAAATTGTCAATCTGATGTACATTGTTACTATAAATAAGTATTGTAAGTTTCAATTGAATATGTCAAGCAATAATTGAGATATTTGACTTTACAAAAAACTTTAACCAAAATTTCTAAGTTAAAAAGGGGCATTATTCTGTCAATATTGTAGGCAGAGTTATCCAACTTGTCAATCTGATGTACCTTGTTACTATAAATAAGTATTGTAAGTTTCAATTGAATATCTCAAGCAATAATTGAGATATTTGACTTTACAAAAAACTTTAACCAAAATTTCTAAGTTAAAAAGGGGCATAATTCTGTCAATATTGTAGGCAGAGTTATCCAACTTGTCAATCTGATGCACCTTGTTACTATAAATAAGTATTGTAAGTTTCAATTGAATATCTCAAGTAATAATTGAGATATTTGACTTTACAAAAAACTTTAACCAACGCAGACGCCGACGCTGACGCCGACGCCGACGCGGGGGTGACTACAATAGCTCTCATATTCTTCGAATAGTCGAGCTAAAAATGAGTAAGCCTATTAAAATAATTTAGATGTTATAGCCACTTGCTTTTGTTTAGCTGTAAGCTAAAAATTTGTAAAGGAAAGTATTTTATAATGGAGACACGGGAACGAACAGTTGTGAAGACACTTTAACAAAGCCTACCCATGTTATCCACACTGAAATCCGGGTATATAGGACGGGAAGGAGTGTAGTGCATTGGTCCCATACGATCATCGAAACTCAATGAGCCTCGAACATTATATGCTGTTAAAATTGTAAAATGGAAGCTCTTGATAATTAAAGAACAGCAAATTCTTATTGTTGTCTACATATATAAACAACTGTGCATAAAAATATTAAATGACAAACCACAAACGGGACAGAAATACATAGAAAATGTTAAAATTTACATAATCCAGCAGAAAATCTTATTTTAAGAAATGTGTATCCGAGAATAACATTTTCCATTCCTGTTCAATAATATGTAAAAACTAGCTCATGTAGAAAATTTGTTGTTTTATCATTTATATCATGAAATTCTGCTGGACATTGTAAGGGTAGAATATACCGATGATATTATAATAGATACTAACCTGGCGACATGTATTCATTTCTGTTGTCAGGGTAACGTTTGTTTGGAGTTGAGTAAATACTGCCACCAGGTATTGGTGGTTTTCCATACTGTCCTTGACCCGGATATCCCTGGTACTGTTCTCCACCCATCATTGGAGGGCGTGGCGCATATCCACCTTGTGGAGGGTTTCCATGAAAACCTTGGTTAAACTGTCCATCAGGACCAGGCTGACCTTGGTTGCCATAACGACCTTGAAAGTTTGGATCCATACCATGTTGGTGTGGACCATATGGCGCCTGGTTCATGCCTTGCTGGGGGTAATTCATCGGAGGCTGCTGGTGCTGATTCATACTAGATGGTCCAGTCTGGGTCATAGGAGTATTGCCCGATGGAGGCATGCTTGTTGGGGGGACTGTTGGAGGCATACCAGGTGACGCCTGATCAAATCTGAAACATCCAAATCAAAATTATCATATAAAGTCTGAAAGATTGAAAGTCCTACTAAAAACAATGTCGTACTGAAAATAACATCTTACTGTATTTACAAAAAATATTTTTTATAGCATAATTTAATAGCAAGCCTCTTTTTCCTTACAGTTACGTCCGGTCGACGGAGACATATCTAATGCCAAAACATGCTTTGTTCCAAATGCGAAGCATTAAACTTCAAATTGTCAGCCAGTCTGCATTAGTGTTGTTGATTTTATTGTCATTCTAAAGAAATCCTTTGAATTCAAAGAATTCATTCATCGTGTTCAGAAATTTTGTATACTGACAATGACAAATTAGTGTGACTTACCTATCAGGTTTGCTAAACTGGTTATCTCCAAATGGAAATTGTCTACCAGATGTACTTGTTGTGTTGGTAGTGCTGGAATATTGACTAGAACTGTTTGTTGTACCATCTTGAGGCATGGAAGAAGACTGTGACATACCAGACTGGGCTGGCATAGGAGGCTGACCAGGCATTGACGGAGGCATAGAACTCGAGTGTGGCATCATTGGTTGAGATGGCATTGATGGCTGTGCTGGCATGTGGGGTGGCATGGATGAAGAATGTGACATTGAAGATTGACCTTGCATTTGTGGAGGCATTGAATTAGAGTGTGACATCATTGGCTGTGATTGCATTGGAGGTTGTCCTGGCATTTGTGGAGGCATTGAATTTGAGTGCGACATCATTGGTTGTGCCATTGGTGGTTGACATGGCATTGGCTGCTGAAGTGAAGAAGGGTGTGGCATCACTGGCTGGGACACCTGAGGCTGACCTGGTACAGAATGAGGGCCCATGGACTGTGGTGGTGCAGTCTCTGGCATGCTGCTGTTACTGTTACTATCCTGATTGAAAATGTTTGGCTGGCTTATTGTTGAGGAATTTGTAGATGTAGAAATACTTGCTGTGGTCATTGATGTAAATGTGTCACTGCCACTGCTTTGTAGTGATACATTAGAAGACTGTGATATCATACCGGAAGTGACTGGCATTTCCGTATTACTTTGTACACTCCCGCTATTTGAGGAGATCTCTGGTTTCATTGGCTGTGAGGAATGGGATTGGTGATTCATACCCATTTGATTCACAGGTCCTGCATTACTGCTTGGAGGCATATTTGAATTTTGAGATGGCATCTGCCCACTGTTTGGGGGCATTGGAGAGTTTGACTGTGGAATTGCAGAATTTTGAATATTAGAATATGGCGGCATTTGAGGTCCAGCATTTTGTTTCTGATATGGCTCGTCAGCAAATGGATCTTGGCAGCTAACACTGTCAGAATTACCTCTCATCATACTGTTAGGTGGCATCATTGGTCCATTATTTGGGCCTGGAGAATGCCCCATGTTATTTCTCATCATTTGTTGCTGGTTCATGCTATTTGGGGGCATCATACCAGGCTGATGACTTGGCATATTTCCTCCCGGGCCCATATTGTTATGTGGCATCATGCTATTGGATGGCATATTCATATTGTTTATCATGTTATGCTGACCCATGTTGTTTGGCATCATGTTTCCCTGCTGTGGGCCCATACCTCCTGGACCCATCATACCATTTGGGCCCTGCATACCTGGACCCATCATTCCTCCTTGAGGTCCCATGTTGTTGCCCATCATGGAGTTAGGTCCACCTTGCATCATATACCCAGAGTTTGGATAATTTTGATGACCCATTGAACCCATCATGTGACCAGGTCCCTGCATACCCGGCCCCATGTGATGTGGACCTCCCATATTGTTTGGTCCCATCATAGGAGCCCCATGTGGACCCATATTGTTCATCATGTGATTTCCCATCATGCCTTGCCCCATGTGACCCATACTAGGGTCATTCTGCATAAATTGGCCTGGTAATCCATCCTGGGAACCTTGTGAACCTTAAAAAGTTTAAAACAAATATTATACATTTTGAAATACAAACTTATTTTCAAGTTGGACAGCCTGTATATTCATGCATTTTTTTGTTATCTAGTAAATACAAAAATAACCTTTTTTCAAAATTATTTACAAATTATCTCTCAAGAAACTTTCTCCCTTTCATTTTTTTTATCTGAATTCCAATTTATAAAAATAAGTTAAAATTTACAATTATTGGAGAAATAAGTGAATATTTATTTACCTGGTGAGGGAGCTCTATTCCTTTGTTTTGCTGCACGTTTCTTTTCCAAATCATTTTCCATCTGAGCCAGTATTGGTGCAGGGTCCATTCCACCACGATCAAAGCGACATTCAAAGGCAAACAAAAATTTGATATAGTTCTTCTTGAGTGTAAATGCTGCACTTGCGGACCCAGAGACATTTATCAAACCACAAATCTCCTTCCATTTCTTTGCTTTTGTTACCTGAATATAACAAGTAATACCATAAACAATCATATACACTGTATTTTCAAATTAACTGAACTTTTACATGATCATTTTAACAATGATAAAAGCATTTAACAAATCAGATTTCTGAAATATTAATTTTTAAAAACAGTTCAAAATAATATACCAATTTACAAAAGCACAAAAAGTCTATACTTTAGAAAATACCTAAAATCCATGATGAGAAAATCTACTACTATACATTAAAAACAAAAACTTAATCTTACAGTAAACTTTTCTTTTAAAAATATTAGTTAATATATTAATTAACCTGCATTTCTGTACAAAATTATCTTCTGTGTAAGATCCAAGACTTAATTTGTATGTGAAATAACCTTTACTTTGTATGCAGTGAACTGTATTTTGTATGTAATACAACTTGCATTTTATTTTATTTTATATGCAGATAACTTTGTTTATATTTCAAGATTGATCGCATGAGTGCAATAAACCAGTAATCAGAACACAGTCACTACCCTAATTTCGTTTGCCACTTATATATTTATTGTCTTGCATGTCAATACCCTGAACTCTGTATCAATATAACACCCACCTCTACCATTCCACCCTTCTCTTGTACTATCATGTAGAGACGGAACAAATCTATTGGTTGTTTACTGATCACAGGCATATTAGACATTGGAGTTCCCTTCTCATCCAAGTATGCAAACAAACGGTCAAGAAACAGCTTCCTGCCTGGTTCCATTCCCATTTCATACAACTTCATATGGTCACCATTACCAGACTTCTGCAAGGAACCAGTCAAGAAAATATAGTAAAACAGTTCATGTTATTTGTCCGAATTCTAAGAAAAATTATGTTGCTTTAAAATCTATCAGAAGTCTTCTAAAAAGATACAGAAAATATTACTACTGTCCCTGTTTTAATTACAGCTAGAAGAAATAAAATATATTAGAAACAATGAAAGAACATACATTTATCATCAAAGGACATGTTTCATCAAAACATTAATTCATACAAGAAAAATTTACAATGCTTAACGGAACGAACGTTAAGTTTACCATCTACTAAACTGATATAAACACATATACAATATTATAACTATTTTCTGTATATGAAACAATTAAACAACATTAAAAGACAAGATTTAATAGTGTAAAATGCCTCATGCATAGTGCTGAATACAAACATGTGGAAGAATGAAAAAAATGCATGGAGATTCACTTATGCAGAGACAGCCAATAAAAGAAACATTCAGTATCACAGCATTTTATCATGAAAATGAATAAAAAGTGTAATCTCAATACAAAGAAATGACATGTTGCAAACAACGAATTTTAATGAAATGGTTTTTCTTAATTTTTGTGAAAGAAATATATAGGTGCTTTGGTAATCTTAATTGGTATATACCATATACAAACATGGATGGGGAGTTTCAAACAGGGATAAAAACTAAACAGGTTTTTTTGTGTTTTTGTTTTTTTTCTTCAAGTTCAAAGATGGCATTCATGAGATATATCAATGATATGAATGGTGTTTTGATGAAACATGCCAACATAACAATACATAATCATGTCTCATGCTACAGTCACTAATTTAAACCAACAATCTAATATCTCCACAATGGTCACTTTTGGTGTTTTTTGTTTTTGTTTCTTTTTCTTCTTTTAATATTGACATGCCATTATGGATTTATGTAAGAGAATTGTAACCCAGAAAACAACAATGGCTGTACCATATAAAGATAAGAATTAATACGAGGAAACCTTTTCTACACAACAAGGATTTACAAAAAGTTTCAAAGAATTTAAGCAAAAAGAAGTCCTGTATAATCAACTGGCAGGAAATATTTGCACAAATTGTCATAAGAGTACTGCTGAAGACGGAGGAAGATTAAATAACAGATCAAATAGTTTTCAGTGTCTCCAAAATTAAATATAACCGTAAACTGATAACATTTGTATCTATTAAGATTTCAAATCACAAAGGAAAGAATTAAAATTAGTATCACAAAGGGAGGCAACTGTAATTTACTAAAAAGTATTTTAACAGTATGGATCGTACTTCTGACCTTTTTTTTAATTTAATCAAAATAACCCAAACCAAAACTTTTCCAAAAACAAATAAAATCAACAAAATCAATAACACAAATAAAAATATTATTGAAAACTTTTCAAGGTAACTTGAATACAAAGAGCTGTGCATGCAAAGGAAAAACAAGAAAAAAGAATATTTAATAAACTCATGCATGATTTACAATTATCTCTCCCTCACTTATATATAACAACAATGAATTATTCTCACTTTACAAGGATCTCTAAAGGTATGTATATTAACACACATTGTTTTGAATGGCGCTAAATTTGAAAATATGACAAAATTTGTGTACATTTTAATCAAGAGTTCCTTCTTGAATCGAGTCTTTTCATTTTTTTTTTTTTTGGTAAAAACTGACAGTTACAGTCTCCTATCACATAGTAGGACTTTCAAAAAACTAATTTCTCACTTCCAAAACATCATTTGGTTACATATACATACAATTCACAAATTATTCCATCAAGAAACACACTTAACTTTTTTAATATGAAAAGAGGGGGAAAAAAAATTTTCATTCATAATGCAAAAGGAAGCTTTAAGTATTTTTAAAAAACCTTTTTGCTCTTCTATTGTAATAGTTTTAAGTAAAGTGTATTTCAAAATGAATAATTTGTGTATAAGAAATAACAGAACTACAACTGAGCAATGCAACCACCAGGCAGGGTTTCAGATTTTTATCCCGCAATGATATACACGATACAAAGACGGTGTGAAACAACTGGCATGGCCGCTTCATGCCACTTACTGCTGAATTGGACCAGCCACTTGGGCTTCCTACGTTGTCAATATCCTCATGTGTGCCTGAAGAAGCTATGCTTGCCCCGTCCGGTGACGGGGCCACTCGGGCATATGGCAACTGTGAAATGCCCGTATTATCCTAAAAATCAACAGCAGCAACAAAGTTTATAATTGATCTTTAAAAAATCTCACTGCAACACAAATTCAATAATAGGGTGATCTTTGCTTTAATCACACTGCTGGTTTAAAACTGGACTCGGCAGTCAATATTTTTTAAGGTTGATAAAGAAATTATAATTTTTCACATACGATAACAAATTATCTAAAATCATAACTCTACCCTGAATTGATAAGTTAACTGATATCTGAACCGTTAGTAACGTTGTTAGTAAATGTCTAAAAAGAAATATTCATTACAGATGTGACGAAAAACCCTACCAGATAAATTAATTTATGCGACATAAAAGTACAACTTACTGTTTTTCTTTTCTTTTCTGGAGGTTCATTACTATTTTCTTGATCACCTATACTTTGAGGAGTTGGTATACAGTTCTGCATGACAGGTAATGGTTCCATTGGTACTGGCTGACTATCATTACTGTTACCTGCTTCTGTTGATAAACTTGTTACTGGACTGGTGATACTTTGTGTCACAGTTGTTGTTGTCTCCACTACAGATAAATATATCAAATAATTATCAAGAGCTGTCTGTTCAGCTGTTTGATACACTTTTCTCAGTGTTTTAGAACTGAAGGTTAACCAACAAGACTGCAACCAACTGGTCTCGTGACAATGGCTCCACATTTTCTGAGCAAGAAGTGGAGCAAAAAACTGGTCTTACAAGAATTATCATAACATTCAAAATGCAATGTTACAATATTGTTATAAACTATTAAAGTAAATTAATAATCAATTCTCATTGGACAAAATGAAAGAATCTCAAGTTTAAATGAACAGACTTAGAAATTTCTTTTCTCTGAACACATTTTCCAAAACAGGAAATTATCTGTATTGATGTGCGTCATTAAAATAGTGTGCATTATGAATTATGTAATCTTCATGAACCTATATCATATTTAAATTAATGGTTATAACATTTTTGTCCAAAGAAACTTTACTGCTACTTACCAGCAGATGTAGTATTTGCCTGTGTGGTTATGGGATGCTGTGCATCATTTGGAAGGGTTGTATTTGATTGGTTCTCATTTTGGCCTGTTTCCCCTGCAGGCATAGAATGGGAGGCATCAGGACCACCTACACCTGGCATTCCATTGGGACCAGATATTGAATTAGGTTGTACATTAGAGTCATTATTCATCACTGGTCCCATACTAGTTGAATCATTAGAATGTGATCCTGCATCTGATAGTGTTGATGCTGGCGTCGACACAGGCTGTGGCGGCTGCATATTCGGGTCCTGCATTGAAGGACTAGCCATACCCATGTGTGGAGAAGCGGTGGAATTTCTCAAACTGTTTGGTATATTTGTTGGAGGTATGTTTGTATTTGTCACAGATTTAGACTTTGATTTTGACTTTGGAAGTGGTTGTTCACTATTATAATTATTAACACTAGAACTATTATGCATCTTTCCTGATGGAGGCATATTTTGACCCATTACATTTGGAGGCACAGGTGAAACAGAGTTCTGCTGATGTGGTGACAGACTATTTGTTGAGTTATAACCCATTTGATTCATCTGTCCCATATGACTTAAAGGGCTCATAGACTGGGGTGGCATGGAATGAGGTCCAACAGGCATATTTGGATTATACATTCTCTGCTGTGGTTGACTTGGTCTGCCAGGACTCGGTTGTGAGCGTGCAGCTGCATTAGCCGCTGCCATGGCTGCTTGAGCAGCAGCCTGAGCAGCAGTCTGAGCACCTTTGATTGGTGTTTGACCTTGAACTGGCGGCACAGACATTGGTCCATTGGACCCAGTACTTGTGCTCGACATAGAGTTAATATTTGATTGTGGTCCATTAGCACTAGGTCCAGGACTTGTCATGCCCGGCGTAGGACCACTTTGAGGACTTTGTCCAGGGCCTCCATAATTTCCATATTGACTATTCATTCCCATCATGCCTCCTTGATTACTGTACATATTGTTATAACTAGTTCTACCCATTCCAGGGCCACTCATATTGTTATACATTGGCTGTCCACCAGGTCCAACCTGATTCGGTCCATTATACATGTTTTGTGGGTAATTTCCCATTCCTGGGGTTGGACGCATTGGAAAATTCCCTGAAATTTAAATGAATTATGTAAATTAATTAATTACTACAAATTTATAATAAAAAAAAACGTTGTTAATATTATAACTTTTCACTTTTTATTCTTAAAATGTAAATTATAAATATTTCATTGCAATGCAGGAATCGGTAAGTCTAAAATTGATTCATGAGCATATTTTTATAAATGGCTTCTCATATGGTGCTGCTGCCTTTTTGTCCTATTGTACAGTGCAACATAATACCTTATGTTGTTGTGGTTCTCCTAGTATCGGACAACCGGACGGACAGACAGACGGCAAAGGCAAAAACAATAGATCTCCCAAAAATTTTGGGAGACATAATTAGTGTGGATGGATGGAATGGTTGTGAAACAAGAAAGGAAAACAAAGGTTTAGTACCAGATACTGTGCCATTCATACTTAACACAAATGCCACTACAATTAACACTTTAGACTTTTGCTACATAAAAACTGCTAACAGATACTAACAGAATTTAGCATACAATGTTTTGCAAAGAAAAGTACTAAGTATGTCAATTACTATTTATTTACTTTAGTTGTAAACAGCATTTATTGTTTTTAAAGGTTTTGTGTTTAATTTTCAATGGGAGAAAACTGGAAATTCTTATGTCTTGAACCCTAAAACCTGCTGAAAAGTGGGCAGCCTTTGCCAGAGCTTATAACCAGGCAGCCTTCACATCATTGCAGTATGATCATCCTCTATACTGTTGACTGACCAACGTCAAAATTGTCATTGTGCTACCCCATAAAAACTGATAACAGACAGTTCGGAAAATGAAAGCTAAACAAGTCCCATTTCAGACATTTAGCAGGTAAAGTATGATGCAGCAATTAATTACTCAGCAGAAAAACCTTCTCACCACATAGAATATGACTTAAGTCTTGAATGTCAGATATTTGAAATTGTTCCATTTCAATTAACTGAAATATACAAGTAAATAACTTCACAAATGTGTCAATTATGTCGAATGATTTTAGTTACCTCCTCCAGATTGGGGATATTGTGAATTCTGGTAATGATGATTGTACGACCCCGGTTGCCCAGGGCCCATCTTGCCTTGGTTATATCCTCCCATCTGATTGGGCCCCATGGGTGGGGGCATCATCTGCTGATTATATCCTGCAGAGGGAATACAAACTATAATTAGTAACTTTTAATCTTACCTAAACCACTACTTATTTCATTAAATCTTATTCTTTATATCCTACAAAGTATCATATCAGAAGCTTTCATCTTATATTTTAAGTTTTCACTTCTACCAACTCCTTTTACGACAAAACGTTTACAGAAATTTAAAGGTGGTACTCTATAGGTCACATCATTTAATTTTTTATCCATAAAAAAAATTTCCATTACCAATCAGTTCCATTTTCATTTTGTGCATAAAAATTAATTAGGGGAATACAAGAGATAGACAATCTTTCATATGTTACATCTCTTACTCATTCATGTATACACAGGAGAGAAAACAAACGTTCTTTTTCATTTTCTATGTTGTTTCTATTACTCTTAATATCCCTACTGAGAAAATCACAACATATTTTTTCTCGAATCCATTGATACTTGCGAGTCACAAAATGATAAATAAAAAAGAACATTAGCAAAAATGAACCTTTTTTTCCAAGTCAGAGATCAATTTTTTCAAGCACTTTCTGTTATGCAAGAGACTTCTCAAATTAAAGCTGTCCCACTTCCAAATTTATTAGATATAAAAAGGTCTTAAAGACTGGGACACTTGAATTATGAATTACATTAATACTACAAAATTGGATGAATCCTTAGATCAATTACATATGCATGTCATTAACATGGTGACAAAAATCCTCCTTTCAATGAAGTTTCCAGTAAATTGTCAATATTTAAATATTACAATATTGTCTGGAAGCTCATATAGTTTTCTACTTTTAAAATAGGCCAGTTTTAAATGCCCAAAAATGTGTTAATGTTGGAATATAAAAATAAATGCTGAAAAATCTTATCAGAATTTTTAAAGTGTCTGAAAAAAAAAACCACTGAATTTAGGTATAATCCTGCAAAATATCATGAAGGTTCAAATGGTTATTAATCTTCCACAAAACTGAAAATGTTTTGATATATATTAATATAAAAAATTAAGATAAAGAATAAAGTTTATACCTGGAGCTGGCATTGGTGACTGACTCATACGTGAATTTTGTTGTGGACCATCCTGTTGTGAGGGGGGACGTGGGGGCATAGGACTTGCACCTTTAAAAGAGAAAAGAATATACTTTGTTACTATTTCTTTCAACTGCATACTTTCATCCATATAGTATCTGTATTTTGTCACATTATAAATAGGACAAATGTATCTGTCTATGTCCCTTTTATTCAATACCTTTAAAGCTGCGAGCATCCAGAGGCTCCAAAATATTTTGAGAAAATCAAATTTGAGAAAAATTAACAAAGATTTTAAGAAAAGTAAAATGATTTAAAATTCAAGAAATAATTTACATGTTATATGCGATAAATGACCAATTTTTGCAGTGTTTATCACATATTTTTTTCTTACTGCTTGACTAACACAGTATGGGCTTATTTTTGCCTATTTTGACCTCTTTCTGGTAAATTAACACGAGTTCTTAGTGCTGTTTGTTCACTTTACAATATTTAAGTTTTTAATACATTTTCAAGATTTTCATGAAAAATAATATAAATCTGGAGGCATGCTGCTTCGATGATATTCAATCTAAATATATTTTCTAGTTCATAGACTATGTTCTTGTGCTCTAAAGGCATTGTATAAATAACACAGAAAAGAAGATACAAATTCAGAAAGGTTATTAAGTTCCCTCATAAATACTATCACTTTCCCTTCCTTTTATTATGCTCAAATAAAAGTTCTCACAGTAAATCATGTGCTAATTAGGCCAACCAAAATTCTCTGTTGTTTATGGTAGAATCATACTTCACTTCTCTTTTTATGTTCTTTATGAAAGGCCAATTAAATAACATACATTCTACTTCAATACACTTTCTAGTACAAGATTAATTATAGTAATATCTGATTTGTATGAATGCCTGCTGTAAGCTATCTGTTATAGTAATCAATTACTACATTAAAACAGAAGCACTTGTAAACTAACACCTTCACGACTCATTTCCCCTCAATTAAGATAACCATCTCAACAATGTGAAGATAACATTTAGCCTGGCCTGACCTTGAATTTCAGCTTATCTACATAACCACCATCAAAAGTAATAAATCTACCTCAACTTCTCACTATGCATTAAAACAGGTGTCAATGACATTTGTGACCTTATATCTATGTGCCAATTAGCAGCTATAATTAGACCATCATAAATTCCTCAGTTTTACTATAAAATATGGGTCATGGTTTTCCCTCAAAGCTATTATTAAAACTGGCAATGAGACAATTATGCCAGATGTTTTACAAAAGACTTGCATTAATGTAACACATCTGCACATGAATGACAAACATTAATCTCCTCTCTATCACAAAACTAAACAAACATCAAGTAAAGGAACTATTTACACTTGACCTTTGACCCCCAAGGCGGATGAGCACAATATAAATTCTCATCCAATACACTCTCTTATTTATTGGGATTTCCCACTTCAAAAGAATTGCTCATGCTGTCAATAAAACTAGGTCATGATTCAATTTGCGCATGACATAATTATGACCTGTCAAACAGACAATAGGATAATGCATTTGTAACAAAATTACTTTTCACAGATGCCGAGTATTTCTAGTCAATGATTTAGATTTTTTTGGCCACTATTACCATGAAATTTTATGTTTTAATTAACAAATTAAAAAGTTATATCAAGGAAAAAACTGTATCAAAGTTGTGACATGCAAGTGGATTGTAAATAACCTTGGAAATGCTAGTGTGAATAGCTTAGGTTTGAAGATCTCCCTGTTTTGTACAAAACTAAAAACTTGATTTTTTTACTTTCAGGTTCACATCGATATTTACATGTTTAAGAAAAAGAAAAGGCACAAAAAACTTCTTTTTTTTCTCTTCAGTCTTTAAAAAATCTTAACTATATTTGTATCATACATTCTAAACCGAACATCATATAAACATGGGTTAATCATGTTACAATGAACATCCTTGTTAAATGACATCCAAATGATTTTCCTCCTTGAGCAAAAAAAAAAAAAAAAAGAAACAAGGCAAAGGAGCATAGAGGTGAAGAAAGTCAAGAGCTTCTTTATCACAACCTTCTTCACTGTTTGCTTAAATGACAAGTGAATTATCATCATGAACATTATTATATACCTGTATTTCATAACCATATTTAAGTAAGTATCTACATGTTCTTTGACTAAATAGTGGGGTTTTTTTTTTTCACTTTTAGTAGAATGGTGGCAGGGCCCATGAAGAGGGAAAAATTGTGTTGCGGAGGGGGGAAAGGGTAAGTTAGAAACGGATAAAACAGTCCTTTTTTTCCCGTCAAATTGTTATATAACACCACTACTTTTAATTGTACTGGGTCTTACTATTGTGATAAAATGTATGATAAAATGTATCTCAAAAAGAAAAGACCCCAAATTGGCACTAAAAAATCACTGACTTGGTTCTAATATTCATCTGCAAGTTTTGCACTTTTTTTAAGTTATTGTCCCATACTTAGCCTATATTCATGGGAATATATATATAGAACATGCCTTAAGTTTTATTTAACCATGTTTATTTTCATTCCAGAGCTGTCATTAATATTGAAAAGGGCATTTCTTGTAACATTTTTTAAACATCTCACACATGAAATCATGTTGCCTTTATTCATTGCTACTAGCTTTAATATATAACTAAGAGTAGTTCCCCTTTCAACATTAAAGTTTCAGTAAATAGAAACTTGAATATTTGAAGCAATTTGTTCATTTTTTTCTTTCTATAATTTGAATAAAAATCTTACATCCATCTCCCAATATACTTCTTCCCATTTATTAAAAAAAAAAATTTAAATGTAATATTTCTTTATAACATTTTTTTATCAATCTCATATTTTGACATGTTTAATCCTTTCTCTTAAAACCATCCAATCTTAAATTAAGACCTTAAATTCACACTTCTTAAAAGCAATTAATACAATGCGGGAGAATATTTCAGTGTAGTAGGTATATATATGGTAATTTTGTTCATGTTTACATTATACCTAATGATATGACCCCTGGGACTATCTTTCCCACTAATGACAACATTTTCATTCATAAAATTTCATAGCATGCCTCATCTGTCAGCATATCGGCAATTTACTATGAAAACACTTTTCTTACTACAAATATTTCACCAGATAACATCTCCCAGATCTTTCATACACTTATTCAATTTCATTGTCTATCTGACATATGAAATTTCAAAACAATCTCATAGTTAATGTTTTTTTTTATCAGATTTATTTCCTATTTGTAAATTTGATATTTACAGGAATCACAGGGTAGAATTTCATATACATATACCTAATTTTTGACCTTCCTCTCTCTACTGTTGATTGTTTTTCAAGACCACTGATAATTGAGATATTAAATTTCATTTATTCTATTTGTTAACACTTTACTACTAATTAAGCTTTAAACCAAATTGATTTTCTTTACTTTATATTATGTGTTTTCAGCATGGGATCATTGATGTTAGTCATCTAACATACCTGAGATAGAGGCTGGTGTATTTGACCTTGAACCTACAGATCCTGGTGACGGTTCTGGTCGAGATGAATTGCTCATAAGAGTTCCCTCCCCTTTTACATCTTCGGTGGAGGAATCCTGAAAATAGACAATTTTCAAAATATATAAAACATGTTGAAAATCTTTTGTTTTTGAAAGTCTGTAAAAGAACAAAACTTAACAACTGTTGCCTTATAAAAGGTCAATCCATTTTTGTATAAAGGAATATTGTCTGTGGAAAAAAGACAAGACTAAGTACTTTGTATTTTCATTTTCATTATCAATGCTACCAATATCTCCAACAGAAAAACAACCTTGCCATCAACAAGAATAAGGAAATTTGGTAAGATTTAACTGCTATTTTATGAGAAGAAAAATAACTTATTATTCAAGCAAGATAATGAAACAATAAAACATCATTTTGACCAAATTAAGATCTCATAATTCAGCCAAAAATAAAGCCAAGTTTCAGGCCTCTTTTTCAGCTATCAAGAAAGCGATACATAGTTCAACTACATCCTGCCTGTACATTGTTTCAACAGTATAGTATGAATGAGTCATTCAGTGCATAACCATTACAATATGTCCTACAGTTTTATACAGAGTAATATATCTCTCATATACAATTTAATAAAACTAGTATTTTTGTTACTGAGTCAATATCAGAAAAACATAAATATCTTTTTATAGAGATATATATATATATAAACTACAATGTCCATAAATTTGTACTAGACTACATGCGATTTAAGTCAACTGTGTATGCATACATATAAATGTTATCAACTTAACAAACCTTAACAAACCAGAGTTTAACATAGACATTTACTATATATATACCATTATCTTCGCTTTTCTACATTCTGTAATATTAAATCTTGGTGTTTTTTCATCACTGCCTACCAAATTTCAGCAATATCATCAAAACAAATGACCAAAAACATTTTCCACTAATAAATGATTTCCTTCAAAAAACCACTATACAAAAAAGGCCAGCCAATATATATCCTTATGTGTATAATCGTGAAGCAAACTTAGCCAGCTATCTTAACACAGGTAAAATGTTCACATGAACAAATACAGTCAGCAAAGATATGGTAAAACTTTGTACATAGCATACAGGTAATAACATTGAAGCGAAAATGATCGCTAACTTCATCAAGTTAAACTGACGTCTACCAGGGTCATACCAGTAAATATTTTATGTCTCGATTCCAATATCATTTTCATAAATCATTTTAATATTTTTCTATTTGTTTCCATAACCATTTTTCCTTAATTATGGACAAATACCTATTTAATTGAAAGCAACCTGCACTTGAGTAACTTGACATATCACACACTGTACTGAACTAGGCCATATCTCCTTTATAGCATTTTAATATATTCAATAATCAAATTAATAAGAAACTGCTTTTAATTGTTCCAAGAACTTGACGGACTGTCTTGAAATCTTGTTTTAGTCTTGCAAAACAAATATTATCTGACCAAATTAAACTAAAAACAATTTTAAAATATGCCACAAAAAAGATTCGCCAATAATGATATACCAGAGTTGATCTTAAACTTTTTGGGGCATTCATAGAGCAGGAGATTTAATAAATCAGTATGAACAAATTACCCCAAAGTTTTGAAATGACCAAAACCTAAACTATAAATTTTCAAGAGAAACATAGCAGCAATTTTGCAGACTGTAAGAAAATCAATGACTGTTACAGGATTTTTTTTACACTGAGCTATACTGGCTGTAGTGATATGACCTATGCCACCAATAACAATTGCACTACAGAAATCCTGGTAATCTCACCAAAACTAGAATTTTAGAATTCTATATGTGAATGTGCGAGTGGGTTGGATAAAGTACTGTTATACAGCTAAATGACTGACTTAACACCTTGTTCACAGACCCACCCCCACCTTCCTTTTGTTATGTACAATCTTGACCTGGAATAAACTACTTTTGCTATCAGTATTCACATTTTATATTCTCTTATTGGATTAATGATTTGGAAGGAAATGCTTTCATGATAAGTTTATATGGCTAAATATATATATCATTCCCATAATAGTAATAAAATATTGCAAACATTTCTCTCACAATCCAAGTACTAAAAGTACTAATGGATTATGAAAAATTATTGATATTTTTTTAGTTCAAACTCAAACAACCTTTTTAGGGAGAAATATATCAAAATGAATTTGTGTGGTAAAACTACTTGATAAACTGCTCATGGTAACTATCATATGTAATCATGCTACACTACTGTACTGATCAGGGGAGTTAACTGGGGCCATCAGTTTATGTTCTCGAAAAACAAAGGATTTGTATGCGCTTCAAACAATTGTAACAAGCATTGCACAATATTTCTATCAAATGGCATTTGAGTAATTGACTACTTTTTATATTTTTTGAAAGGTTTTTGTATGTTGGTTAGATGCATAGACGATACAATATTTGTTAGGCTTCAATTTAAAACATTTGAAGTATAAGTTGCAATAAGTTACCATCATCATTCTGATTCATATATTGTTAATATGGACTTTCTTTCTTTGAACTTATATACCTGTCCATTAATGGCATTATTGATTTTGAAGATATGAAAAATTAAGCCACCAACAAATTTACAATTTGCTCCGACGGAACAGACGTGTAAAAAATTTCATTTGCATCCATTATGATAGAAATTCTTTAGTTTCAAGTGTCAATAATCAGGGCTACAGATAACATTTTGTGTATATTGGGTAATTACCCCTTATTTTGTGATCTATTGGGTTTTTTCCATTTTCTTTGAGTTATTTCTGTATTTTTTACCCTACCCCCTCTAACCAATTTGGGTTATAAAGTACAAGTTCATGCATTTTACCCAAAATTTTTGACCTTCATTGTAGACATTTGTAGGTTTTGTACGGTAATAAAAAAGCTACTTACTACTTTGCTTTATGGTTTATTGGCCTAGGAAATTTCCAAGTTGCCTTATATAATTTAAAGGTTAAAACAGTCTGAAACAGTATGATCTGCTTGATGTATGCGTTAAGTAATAATTTTCGTCATTACGCACCAGTTCAAATGTAGTTTGTATAAATAAGAATTCATTTACTTTTTCTTACCCTTAGTTATTATTTCTATTGGGTTTTTAGACATTTTAATTGGGTAATAACGCAAATACGCATGTTATCTGCAGCCCTGAATAATGTAACACAGATATCTTTCGTCAAAGTCTTATAACAAAATATCAAATTAACATTACCTTCTCAACCAATTATCAACTTTCACACATGTCACAGCATCCATTAGTACCCATTCATTTATTGGCCTTTACTTCTTCAACTCTCTTTTTACGTTATTATATCAATTGTCACAGCATCAATATTTCTTATCTACCATCTTATATTTTTTTTATTAGTTTTTGTTCAGAACAAGTTGACCATACAATATTTTATTGCATTTTCTTTTTAAACAATTCATGTATATCCCTTAAAAGGCATATTATAACTAAGAAATGCTATAATTCTTATTTCACGAAAGTTTTTTTTTTATTTTTAGTGTCCTGTTACCAAACCATCTTTAGCTCCTGTTGTATTTTGGCATTAAGTAAAGTTGCTTGATTTAGTATCTTGTATGGAAGTAAAAATACTACTTTGTTTACATTTTGCTACTTTAATGGTTATTTCACATTCAGCGCCACTTTTTTCAATTGATAAGCATCCAACATGCTTTAAACCAATTATTTAAACATATAATATGTCTGGCCTTCTTAAGAAAGTAAAATTTATTTGTTTCACAGCCGCAGCACCCCCTTATGACAATAACCCTTTAGCTCAGCAAATTTTAGAGACTTTTTAGTTTTCAAATTTTTATGATCAAATTTGATACAAACCCACTGACATTTTGATTTCTATATTTAGCACCCTTACTGGGACTGCGTACCACCCGTACCTTCTCAGACTTTTAACCTCTTTTCAAGGCCAGAAGCCATCATACTCAAATTGATAGGCATTTCTCAATTATCCTGTATAGTGTGGCAACTGGTAAGACTTACTGAAAACTATATTTGTCAACAAAATCACAGCCACAAGATTTAATAAACTTAAATCTGCAATTGTTTTTTGTTTTTTTTTCCCTTTCAACATTACCTTTAACCACACAGCCACAAAAATGCAAGTAAAAATTGCTATGATGCCAGCAGAGAGGGAGTAACAATGGAACAGATAATATAGTTTTGACCATCAGCAGTTTCAGATTTTTCACAAGTTTTCACTTACACCTAATAAAATACATGGAGAAAATACGGGAAAAGCCAGATGGACTTAAATATTGATGAAGTTAAGTTATTAAAGGATGCTATTCATGGAGTTGTATTTTTAGCTTAGTATATTAATGAATTTCTGTATTATTTAATCCATCATTTTATGGAAATTTTTCAAAAATATTTATTGAATAAATTGCAAACAGTGCAGACCCTGATCAAACAGCATTTATGTGCTGGTGATTTTGGTCTGCACTGGTTGCATAGATTGAACTGCTGTTGGCAGCAAACACGTAACCCAACAATGCATCTTTCTCAATCTATTTTTCGTTTCGATACTTCAGCAAATCTAGAGAGAACTTATGAAGTCATAATTATGTACATAGATATATTTATCTTAAGAATTAACAAAGGTTTTTAGACAAAACCTTCCAGTCAACTTGTTCTTTTATGCTTTTAATTATTACAGTATCATTATAACACTAGTGCTGAATTATTTATATTACTTATCAAAGTATGACCTTCCAAAACAACACTGTCATCCTTCAAGTTATTAGTACCGTTCATAAAAAAAAATCAAGAAAAAAGGGTTCAATGAAATTCACAATGCTTAAAACCCCCCATTCCACCTTCCTTGATTCCTGTTGTTGTTTTTTTTCTTAAAATTTGTTTCCCACTTAAAATAAAATGACTGCTTAATAATTTCTGATCAACATATTTATGTATAATTAGAAATTTCTAAACAGAAGCATGAAATTAAACAATTTGAACCCTGCATATATACAATATTAAAACAAAAACATTTCTTTTCCAAATCTCTGAAGATCACCTTGTTAGTTCTGCTTCAGCTAA